ATCCAAAGCGACGTACAAATTTTTTTTTATAACCTATAGGGCATGTTGTGATCAAGCCCCCACAATGCCGCTCAGAAAATGGTCCCATCCCGGAAGTAAGAAAAATTGCAGTTCCACCCTCATCCGCTGGGGGCTGGTGCCAGAAGCGAGCAAATCCTCATTGACTCCCATGTTAAAAATGCCGATTTCACAGCAGAAATAAACATGTTTACAGCCTGGTGCCAAAACATGTTTTTTGTCTAAATTATCTAGTTTATACTCATGACAACTCTGAGGGGGGTGAATTTTTTTCTCACTCTTCTGTTTAAGTGTATTGAAAGCCTAAAATTCTGTATAATTAATGAGCATCCGACACACGTGACCGCCGCCTCAGACCCACGTGACCACAGAGCTAGCTCCGTGGAAAGGCCTCAGTACAGCCTCGGTCTGGCTTGGAAACTGCTCCGGCATTTTGAGTCTCTGTGTTTGTGTATTCTTCTTTGGATATTATTGGTGCAATTGTTGGACAAAATGACTTGCAGTGGTATTAATTGCACTAATAGAGCGTCCAAGGAGTCTCCACTTCATTTTTTTCGGTAAGTTAAAATCTATATTCGTATTTTATGTCACTGCCACCTTTAAACTAGCTGAGTTTACCGAAGTAGCTAGCTAACTATCAGTTTAACATGTAGCATGTACTGTTTAACCATGAAATTTAAATGTAAAATACGGTAAAATAATTAATAGGGCATATTTAGATGGGTAATAGGGTAAAACCCAGTGCATTTAAGATAAAAATGGGTTGAAATATGACGGAGCGCTAAGAGGGAGACTTCTGTGTCCATTCTTCCATCCGGTAATCCCCAGCGGTCAGGCCGGGCAGCCTGACCGATCCGGCGCCTACTTGCTGCGCCTAGCTGCTGCGCGGTCTGACCGCTCGTGGAGTTTTTCATGTCTGACTTTAACCGCATCTAATACTGTATTACGGCGTGAGCGCAACAGCGACAACTTAATATCGATGTGTAAGCAGCCTGAGTGGTAGGGTGTTTTCATCTGAACCCTTAAAACCTCCAGCAGGCTATGCTGCACTATTGACGTGTTAGCGCGCGGCGCTAACAACTTAGCAACGTGACATGTCTCTGAGAAAGCGTAAAACACGGACGCTTCTTCTGAAGCGGAAAATAACACCTCTTCTTAAGCAGAGCAGGATGTCGCCTCGGCTCGTTCACGGCCGAGCCGGACTGAGCTCGATAACATTGACCAAGCACAGCCACTGGGCCGTTGTAGCTGCCACCAGGCCTGCTGAAGGAACTCCAGCGGGTTTCATCAGACTCGTAAAGTTTCTTGTTTTTGCTGGGGATTTCTGTATTTTACCGCTCCCTCCTGCAGTCTTCCCCTATTAAAATTTAAAATGTGTAACTTTATGTATTGTGATGAATGACTAATATTCATGTAAAACTAAAACGTTAGGCATTTAGGGGGAAAAAACAAAATAATAAACATTATACAGATGTCAAATAAATCAAACTGTAATTAAACTATATATTTTCAAAGTCATATAGACAGCATGATGGTTTGTGTGATCCGCGCGGTTTCACTTACACCCCTTTAATGATCAGGCTGTTTTTTATTATTTTTATCAGCTGATAGCAGTTAAAATTATGGTAAAAAATACTTTTATCTGTTTTTGATAACTTAATGCCCAGGAAGAGCATCTTCCTGGGCATTAAGTTATTATGAGCAGATCTGATGAAGGTTTAGACAAGCAGTCTGCAAAGTAAAACTTGTTTAGAGTCCAAACTCTTACTAAAGCTTTTAAAAAGAAAAAATGGTTGAATTTTGAGAAATATCCACAACAGGGGAGCGAGACCTCTGAAAAATGTATATTTTCTCTGAATTCATAGAATAATGTGAAGATTCTGGGAAAAGTTGGGATTCTGAGATTAAAACGTAAATCTTTCTAATCATAATTCTGGCAGTTTTTGTGTCCTTCTGCTGTGGAAAGTCGTGCAACATGAAGATACTGAGAAGATGCTTACAACCTGTATTTTTATTCCATCCATAAATAAAATCATGAGCTATTTTTTTAATCCAAATTTGATACAAAGGGCCATCGTTGGTTCCAGACCCGTTCTAGAACATTCCTCTAATCTTAAAGTCATCATCAGTTTCTTCCTTTTAACAAATATTTATTTGTTCAAATATTTAATATTTATAACTGGAATATTTGTTCCTCCCTCTCCCACTGCAGTTAGTCCTGTCCTGCAACCCTGTTTTTGCAGCTTAGTGAAGCCAACCATCACTAACCTGGGGGTGGTTTTGGACCCAGAGATGCGGATGGACTCCCACATTAGCCAGGTGGTTAGATCCTGCTTTTCCCGGCTTCGCCAGCTACCAAAGATGAAGTCCATCCTGAAAGACGTGTCATATTTTCTCCCCAAGCTGGACCTGACCGTCATGTATCGGTCCAAAATAGTGTGATGATATTGTGTTTTTTGTACATAACAGACTTTTTAACAGACAAATTTGTCGCATTCTCCTACACCTCTTCACGGGCTCGCCACAGTAAATATTCTATTTGGCAAGAGATAAACTTTATTGTATTTATCCTAGTGAATCTATAATTAAACGGGTAAACTAGTATTAGCACATCCAACATCAAAGAAAGTAAAATGTTACTATCAGGAGAGGGAGAATGTTTAAGTGGTTAGCAGCAGTGTGCTAGCCGATGGCCCCCTCCATGAGGCCACCACAGCTCAGCAGAACGTCATTGTAGCTTCTTCTGGGGAGAAAAACACTTGGAGAAAAAATAAAGTTAACAGCTGAAATAGCAGGAAATAATACAGTTAAAGAGCAGATTGTAGAAGAAAGAAACCCCTGGGTTAAACTGGTCTGTCTACTGCATAATGCTGAACTCTAACATGTGTCCTCAGGGAAGGACCTGATTGGTGTCCAGAACCTGTTGAAGAAGCACCAGGCTCTGCAGGCTGAGATCACAGGTCATGAACCTCGCATCAAGGCTGTCACCCAGAAAGGAGAGACCATGGTGGAGGAAGGTAGAGCAGGTCTGGTCCTGACATGTTTCTGAGGTGTCTGCAGGTTCTGGCTCACTTTTTTTGGGTCCAGGTCACTTCGCTGGTGAGGAGGTGAAGACTAAGCTGTCAGAGCTTCATGGACGTTGAGACACGCTAAAGGCCAAGGCGTCCCAGAGGAGGCAGGACCTGGAGGACTCTCTGCAGGCCCAGCAGTACTTTGCGGATGCTAATGAGGCCGAGTCCTGGATGAGGGAGAAGGAGCCCATCGTTGGAAGTCCAGACTAAGGGAAAGACGAGGACTTGGCCGAGGTATGGAAGTCCCTTCCTGAGAAACTCCAATCGCTTTTCTTTGCTCTCTTTCCAGTCCTTCATAATTAGTGTTTCTGTATTTGTCATTTCCTTCGGTTGTCAACCAGACGTCGTTGCTCGTTTGAGCGTCTCATGGGTTAGGGGTAGAAGTGCTGGCCTCGCACAGGAAGTGATGACAAACGTGTTCCCGGCGCTCTTATTTCAAACGGTTTACAAGCTGTGATGTGTGTTCCCGCTGCAGAGCAGCCATGACACGTGGCAGCCGGCAGAAGGCTCACGCTTTTCCACTAAACACCCGCAGAGCTGCGTCTGCGGTGAACTGAGCAGGGTTTGTTTTACAGTGGCGGATCCGATTGGACCATCGCTGCGAGAAAGCTCCACTTGTGTCAGACGAGCTGAAGGTTCTGATGTTCTGCTCCACAGGCTCTCCTGAAGAAGCACGAGGCCCTGATGTCGGACCTGTCGGCTTATGGCAGCAGCATCCAGGCCCTGAAGGAGCAGGCCCAGTCCTGCAGGGTGAGTTCAGAGCCCTCGGCCCGTCATAACATTCTTATCCACCACGTTCTAACACCAGACCTGTTAACCCGACAGCAACAAGATAATCAGCAGGTGCTTTTGTCCTGCAGGACCTGAAGGACAAAGAGTACCGCCTGAGGGACATCAACAAGGTGGCATCTGAACTGGAGTCAGAAGGTCTGATGGCTGAGGAGGCTCCTATGGTTCAGGCTCAGGTGAGCGTCACCTGTCTGCAGCAGCTGGTCCCTCTTACTTCCTGGTTTGTTAACTCTGCTCGTCTCTGTTTGTAGCAACAAGAACATCTGGGTTCTGCTCCTGGAAAGGTGCATGTTGTCCTCCGCCTCAACCAGAACCAGACGTGGTGTTTATGTTACCACTCATTTGTTTGTTTGTTTGTTTGTTTACAGGACGAAGCCGACTCTTAACACGGCGTCACCCTGGAAGGTGAGTTCATTCAGCTGATCAGAGGTCACCTCTGATGGCAGCAGTCACGGCCGACCGTGCTGACATCACACAGGAATTCAGGTGACCCGGCAGGCACCAGGTGCTGGTGAAAGTGGGGACATGTCAGCTGGTTGCCATGGCTACAGTTATCTTTATGCATCTGTATGACTGCTGACTGGTGTGTGTTTCCTGTGACCTTTGACCTCAGACCGTACGGTTGGGCGTTCAGACGACGGCTAACTTTAATTCCATCAAGGTAAGAGGAAGCTCTTCCCTTCCTGTCTGAGCGATCCGTCTCCAGGTTTCCTCGTCCGGCGTCCAGCCCGCTGGCGTCCACCTTCATCTCACCTTCATCTCATCTCACTTCATTTATAGTGCAATACTTTCACATTATCATTTTCCCACACTTCTGTATAACTGTATTTTGTTGTTTTTCAATAAAGAATGACAAATTATTTAAGTTTGGTTTTTGTTGCACACAAATATATATCTGTAAAAAATATCTTCAAAGCTAATGTTTACATAACAAGTATGATTGGGTTTTGCAATACGGCACTCAAGTTTATTTTAGTAAGATTTTCAAACCAAGTAAAGTTAGTAAAGAACACATTTCTATTGTCTGCTAAGAAACTGTTGGGATTTAAAATGGGCCTGTTGTACAAATAACTTGTAAATGATTATTCCTCACTTTTGTCTTAACCAAAGAAATTCCAGTAATTGAGCAAAAACATTTATTTTTAACACTACATTTTATAAAACAGGGCACAGTGTCGGCACATGTATGTATGTCGATGGTCCGCCCCAACCGAACCAGGAGACACAGACGTCAGGGAGGCCAAGGTTGTCTCTGCAGCTCTCTGGGCACCACGCCTCACTCAGCTGTCCCCAATGATCCAAATGGCTATGGAGGAAAAAAAATTTAATAAAAGAATGAAACTTAAAAACTCCCAAACCTCATGTCATATTTACTAATCAGCTATGGCTGATTTATTGTTTGGATCACAGTGAGTTACACTAATTCTAATATATTTTTATTTCTATTATACATACATACTTTTTAACTGTTATTTTCACATGACTGTTATCAGGCTCTTGTTCTGGTTCTGATGATAACTCTGTGTCTTCCAGTAAGTTATCTTGTGCTTACTTCATCTGTATAATGTCTCTTTACTTTTGGTAAATTGTACTGAGTCCAGAATAAAGGCTAGCTGGCTGTACAAGATACAAACAAGTATTACGTTTTGGAAATATATGAAACACCGCCAGCATCTGTTAGAGCCTGTGGCGGGGTGCTGAGGGCCGGCTCCAGCCCAGGAATGAGCTCTACACGCCGGCCGGGAGGGTTTGAAACACCGCCATCCTCTCCTCTGCTGGCTGTTCATTCTGTTATGGTTACCGGTGCTTGTGTTGCAATGTTAAACGCTTGGTCTCGGATTTTGTAAGAAAGATAATAAAATGTCCCCCCAAAATACGACTTAAATATATTTTCTCTTCTTCATGATACATTTAATGGCTGGTGCGACTCAGGAGTGATAGCGCCGAAAAAAACTGTACTGAAAACTTGCTCAAAGCAAAATGTATTCATTACGGAAATAAATTATAAACTTACCGATTTAAAACTTTTTTAATACAGGTACTTCTCACGAACAGGCGCAGAAAACCTCCACCTAAACTCCGTGTGAGGTTCAGGTCGATGGGTGTTCCAGTTAGCTCCGGTTGGGTTGAAGCTAGGTGGCTACATCCGTTAGCTCGGCTCCCACCTCCGCTTTAGCTTTGGGTTAGCCAGGGTTAGCTTCAGGTTAGCTCGTAGCTAGTTCGCCTGGGTGTCGTCACTCGAGCCCAGCCTTACAGCCACACCCTCAGCGCCTCCTCTCTTCCCTTTTATGGAATTGTCTGGGCTGGACGGAACCTGTGACACGGTCAAAATGGCGGTGGTGGACACCTCCCATTATGGACAGATAACGTGTTATTGAAGCCTATGGAATCGAATTGTCCAGTATATGTACAGTCTATGGTTGTGATCTGTGGGGGAAACCGGAGTAACCGGAGGAAACCCACACATGCATGGGGAGAACACGCAATTCCACGCAGAAAGGCGAGTTTAGAACCTGCGACCTTCGTGCTGCGAGGCACCAGTGCTAACCACTGCGCCACCATGCAGCAATAACAGAGTAGTGTTAATTAGGAAGTGAACATGACACCAACAGTGAAACAACGGCTTCTCACTGTTGCTTTTTTCCATCTTCCTCGTCTTTATCTTCCTCATCTTCGTCTTTATCATCCTCATCTTCTTCTTTATCTTCCTCATCTTCTTCTTTATCATCCTCATCTTCTTCTTTATCTTCCTCATCTTCTTCTTTATCTTCCTCATCTTCTTCATCTTCCTCATCTTCTTCTTTATCTTCCTCTTCTTCTTTATCTTCATCTTCTTGATCTTTTTCCTCCTTCTTCTTCTTCCCTTTATATAATTTGCTTGCTACCCATCCAGTACCAGCTCCGACGGTGCCTCCAGCGCCGGCTAGAGCAGCAGTGGCGGTGGCCGACAAACCAGCAGCTCCTGCATCAAAACAGCGAAGTTCAAAGAGCTGAAATCTGAATCAAACTCCAGAGTGTTTTAGGGTTGGACTCCTGGATGCTGCTGGCTGATAAACTCAAAATACCTGCAGACTGTAACACAGCTACCAGACTTCCTGCTGCCACCCCTCCTCCGTTGGCTACAGCAGCTGCAGACATCATGCTTGCAGCAAAGGATCCAGCTGCTATTCCAGCTGAGGTGAATCCAACAGCTCCCAGAACTGCAGGAGCTGCAAGCACCGCCCCCACTGCTCCCGCAGCTGATGGACAAGACCAGGTCAATCAACAGAAGAGGATTAAGTGAATTTGAGAAGATAATCTGAAGTCATACCTGTTGCTCCTGCAATGGCAAGTATTTTTCCTGAAACACACAAAAGAAACATCAGCGTTTTGGCAGCATAAAGAGCAAGTCACCCCCTTACCAGTCTTACTGGTTTTCTGTGTTTCCTGCTTCACCACAACTGAATGGAGTACTTTAATCCTCTCCATGCCACATTTAACTCTGCACAGGCTTGTTAATTACTCATTCATTTCAATCAGGTGTGTAAGAAACAGCTAATTTGTGAAGGATGGTGGCCCTCGAGGATCGGAGTTGGTGACCCTCTAGATGGAGCAGTTTGAATAAAAACTCTGGATTTCTGCTTTAATGGAGAACGGCCCTGAGCCTAACAAACAAAATAGGGAGCCTAAAGCCTGATTCATGCTTCTGCAACAGGGGAAACAATATTTTAGGTTTTGTTTGAAAATAAGTCCAGGACTACAGATGCATGTCACGAAAGTGATGTCATCGAACTAGACACGGAGAAAACTGAGGGTAAAGGGCTGTAAGTTCAGCAAACTTCCCACAGGAGGAAAGAACCACCATAAATCTGGTCATTTGGTAAGTAGCAGCTATGCTAGGGAAGAGGAGGTCATGTGGTGACGTCACATATGCGACGTGCCGATTTATAGTTTGTAGTCATGCTAATTACGGACTTTTACAAGCTGATAAATCTCAAAGTACGTGGTGTGGTCGAAACACCCACCATTACTTTTCATTTAAATTGCAGTACAACATATATGCCATCCAGGGCGTAAGGCAAAGCGGATTAGAAAATAGCGTTTTTAGCATCTTTGACTTGCATTGATTTTTTCATTCTTCCAGGGCCCCATGTGCCGACCGGAAAGGGAGGAAACTTAGGCTCCCTATAGAGTTTGTTGATTCAAATTCAAATGTAGAGCAGAATTTTAAGCTGAAGAGGGCGCTACACTTGGGTTATAGGCAAGCCCCCACAATGCGGGTCAGAAATTGAGTCCAATGCGGAAGTGAAATTAATTGCAGTTCCACCCTCATCCACTAGGGGCAGGTGTCAGAAGCGAGCAAATCCTCATTGACTCCCATGTTAAAAATACCAATTTCACAGCAGAAATAAACATGTTTACAGCCTGGTACCAAAACATGTTTTTGGTTTAAATGATCTAGTTTGCACTCATAACAACTCTGAGGGGGTGGATTTTTTTCTCACTCTTCTGTTTAAGTGTATTAAAAGTCTAAAATTCTGTATAATTAATGAGCATCCGACCCTGTAACCGCAGAGCTAGCTCCGTGGAAAGGCCTCAGTAGAGCCTCGGTCTGGCTTGGAAACTGTTCTGGGTTTTTGAGTCTCTGTGTGTGTGTGTATTCTTGTTTGGATATTATTTGTGCAATTGTTGGACAAAATGACTTGCTGTGGCATTAATTGCACTAATAGAGCGTCCAAGGAGTCTCCACTTCATTTTTTTCAGTAAGTAAAATTATATTTATGTATTTTAGGCCACTGGCGCTCTTGCGCTAGCTGAGCTTATATTTTAACATGTACTGTTTAACCATGAAATTTAAATGTAATAGGGTAAAACCCAGTGCATTTAACATAATGCTGCACTTTAGAAAATGGGTTGAAATATAACATGTTGGTGGAGCTGGGTTCCGACTATCGGCTTGTGGAGCTCTTGGGAGACCTCTGTTTTCCACCCGGTTCTCCCCTCCCCGCAGCTCGGCACATCTCTGTCTGATAGCGGCTTCTGACTGCTGCACGGGCTGCCGGCTTGTGGAGCTCTGGGATGGAAACCTTTCCACCCAGTTCTCCCCAGCAGCAGCTCTGCGCATCTCAGACCGCAGCGGCGCTTGTCTGCTGTGCAGCTGCCAGCTTGTGGAGGTCTCGGAGACCTCTGTGTTCCACCCGGTTTTACCCAGAGGTCAGCCCGGCGTATCTCTGACTCAGAAGCTCTGGTGTTGTGCACAGTTAAGTCCGGTTGTAGCTAGGTTGCTACCTCTGTTAGCTTAGCTCCCACCTCTGCGTTAGCTTTGGGTTAGCTTCAGGTTAGCTTGTAGCTAGTTCGACCGGGTGCTGTCAGTTGATCCCAGCCTTACAGCCCCACCCTCAGCTCCACCTCTCTTCCCTTTTGTGGAATTGTCTGGGATTGACGGAACCTGTGACACGGTCAAAAGGGCGGTGGTGGCCACCTCCCATTTTTCTTCAAAAACGTGTTATTGGAGCCTATGAAAACCCATTGTCCAATATTTATATGTCGATGGTTATAGATGGACTAAAATGCCTAAATAATAATAGATGTCTACAGCGCCAAAAGACGCTCTTGTAGACTGTTAACCAGCAAAAAAAAAAAAAAAAAGTTTATTTGAAGAAGGTGGGGGCTAGACAAAATCTTTGCTGCTGCTCATGGACGTAATTTTTTTTGAGGGGGGGGGGCATGTCCCCCCCACCTTTCCCAAAGTCAAGTTTTGACCCCTGCACTTTTTACCATCCAAAAACAATATTACGCTATATTAAACTGACACTGGTTGAGCTCTAGGACCAAGCAGAAAACAACCATTTGTGTTGAAGCCTGTTTCCCATTAGAACATACTGTAAAGATCCCCCCCATCCCCCCCACTTCTAAAGTGAAAATTACGTCCATGCTGCTGCTATGGTTTGTCTAAATTTTAACGCTACCAAGAAGCACCCTGAGTTCCAATAACTTCATATCTGAACTGATTGGGAAGAAAATAAAAAGCAAAATTTTCTAAAGGTATGTTTTGGCCTCCCTTTAGAAACATCACAACTAATGAAACAGGTCCAAACAGAAACATTTCCTTTCAAAAAGATTTTCTGCTATGTAAAATTAGTGGATATGTGCCTCATAAAAATGTTAAAAACTCGCATTACTTCCCGCTTTTTAGCCTTCCTGCTCACTGAACTTTGCATTTCATAAACTACAAGTTTTAGTCATCTAGGATTAAAAACTTATTTAATAAAAGTCAAGTACAGCCGATCCTTCTTTACTCACCTAGTTTCATGGTTTTCTTTGGTTCGGCGTTTTCTGAGGACAGAGGAGCGTTCTTTTTTTTTGACTCCCACCACTTCACAAGAAACGAAACACAAATGATGATGCTTTCACGAAACCTCGGAAATGTGAGCGTTACAGAAAAAGATAACATTCACCCTGAATTTCGTTCTGTATTTACTTCCAGTAGTTTAAACATCTGAGTAGAATGAATGAACGAATAAATAAATAAATAAATAAATAAAGACCTACTGAAGGAAACGCCAGTAATTTAAATGTTTCCTGATTATTTAGGGTTTTGTTGTTAATACATCCAGAAACACTGAATGTCAGTCAGAGCTTGTAAAAGACAGAATAGCTAATGCACATGCTGCACATTGTGCCTGCTGGAGCTCATTGATTTGTAAATTTTTTTGATTTTGACTTGTAAAAATTATTGAAATAGATTTATTGATTTTTAGTAGTTAATTGTATAGCTGTAGACGTTCTGGCATTCCCATTTTCATGACTAACTATCGAAGTAATTTCGTAGTGGTATATTTTAATTTGAAAGAATCTACCGGAAAGGCAAATGAGTAATGTCTTGTTTAGTGTTAGGAACATCGGGGGTTATGATGAACCACAGTTCTCTCTCTCTCTCTCTCTCTCTCTCTCTCTCTCTCTCTCTCTCTCTCTCTCTCTCTCTCTCTCTCTCTCTCTCTCTCTCTCTCTCTCTCTCTCTCTCTCTCTCTCTCTCTCTCTCTCTCTCTCTCTCTCTCTCTTTCTATGTTATGAGCGTTTCATGTAGGAACAGCATCCAGTTGACCTAAATAAAAATAATAATAAAAAAAAGGACAGAGAATGTGGCCACCAATCAAATCAAAGGACAGATTATAAATAATTTAATTAAAAGTGTATTTAGACAAAGAACAAACGTCCACTGGAGGGAGCAAATTTTCTCTTCATTTCATGCCAATGAAGTACTCTTAGTTTAAAGCCCTTTAGCTAGCTGGGTTTTTCACTCTGAATTCAAACTTAGTGTCTAAAACCGTTACATCAGAAGTTTAATGTCTTTTTTTAACTAAATATTGAGATAAAAAAGACTGTTAGAACGGGTTTCCCTGTTGCTAACTGCAAAATGTCAAAGATATTCATTTTGAAATAATTAGCTTAAAGCGTTTTTCGTTACTATTGTCATTTTATAAATGTAAATCTTTCCTCCATCTACCCCATCTGCTTATTACTATTCCCAAAAATGCAAAGATTTGTTCTTTTTACTATATAATGGGACTGAATTGCTCTCTGCTAACATGTTCACCAGAACCAAAGTGAAGTTTCAAATCCTTCCACTGGAGGGCGCCAATTATCCCTCCTCATTCATTTCATGTCAATCAAAAACTTAATTTGAAGCTCTTTAGCTAGTTGGGGGTTTTAGTTTGAATTCAAACAACTATTGTGTCTAACACTGTTATATAAATAAATTTTTATTTGTATTTTATAGCTAAGAATTGAGAGAAAAGATTGTTAGAGCAGATATTGCTGTTGTTAAGCCCAAAATAAATGAATTTTATTTTAGAAAAAAACAAAATAAGTTACTTGTTTATATTTCTAGTTAGCACTACAAACGTCTCAGGTCATGCGCCCTCTGGTGACAACAAGATAAAAATTAAAGTAAATCCTCGATAGACTTAGAGGGAATTTTTTTCTTAATTAATCAAATTAAGTTATTAACAGGACATATAAAATACATATATTTAGGTACAATATTTTACCAGAATAATTTCATAGTTTCTAGTCAAACTAGTATGTGAAACTATTGTTATTTCCAAGACCAATAAATATCCAGCTGCATCTAATAAACACAGACTTTGATTCAGACACAACAGCTGATTTGTTTGATAAACTCGTTTAATCAGATTAACGGAAAATTTTAATTATCTGCAATACATGGTTTAAAGGGCAAAATTGAAGATAAGTAAAATGTTCCAGTCCCAATACTCCCACTTCCACCCTTGCGCCCATCCCGGCCAGGGGTGCGAGTGTTTGGGGCAGAGATGGGGACTTGTGGCATCAATGACCCAATCTCAATAATCACACTGCGCCCTGCGGTCTTCAGCAAAGTGCACTTTGTAGGGTTCGAGTGCGTAGTACACAAGTGTGCAAATGGCCTTGTTCGAGATGAGCCAATTCTGCACAGATTAGATCACCGGTGATCGGCGCGCTCGAACAACTCGAACAAGGCCCGAGTTGAGCAGCGCCTTGTCTGGAAAACAGACGAGAGCAGACGAACGCAGCAGGGGGAGTGGCTGAAAGCCGGCATTTAAGTCGGACAGATTCCCCTACATGTGTAGCTCATGGGTGATGATGATGATATGATGATATCGCGTTAGCGTTCATACTTATATACTAATTCATTATTTTAATTCTGGTGCCTGTTAGCAACCGAAACAGATCCTCACGTGCTTGTGGATATCGTATGGAGACCTGACTGTAATAATAAGTAAAGTTTATCAGCTGTTGTAAACGTTATTAGTGTGCTCATAGGAAACGTGACAAAATAACACAAATCACATTTCTCTTTCTGGCCTATATAGTTGTCATCATCAACGTAACATGATTTACAGAATACATGTGACCAACTAACATTTCATGTTCTACCACCGGATGTTTGGATCAGAATGTGAACCAATCAGATCTTAGATCAGGTGAGAGCCAGGCGTTTCCCGTCATCCCCTAGGTTTTGCAGCCGGTGGAGAGCAACTGCGGCGCCTTGCTCCAAAATCTGCGGCCGCCGTGATCTCACGAGGTTATCGTTGCCTACGTATGCATGACGTCAGAGCAAGTCTGCGTCAAGTCGGACACAAATCTAATTGCGCGCCGATCACCGGTGATCTAATCTGCGCAGAACTGGCTCATCTTGAACAAGGCCTGTGATACATTTTTCAAAAACCTTTATTAACAACTTAAAAAAAAAAACAACAAAGCAATTATTTGAAATAAATTTAACTTCATTGCTGCTTTGTCTAAAAAATTTAGAGCATCAACTAATCATCCTAAAATGAATTTCATTAGAAAATACATATTTTCAGAAAAGGAACTTGAGCCTTTTCTCCCGCAGCAATGATTTGTGGGTAATACCCTTGCCCGAGGTCCGCATCGCTGCGGACTTGGGTGAAGCTAACCCAAGGATCACCATAATACGGTCACATACAGAATATTTTACAGTAATATGCAGTAAATATACTCAGTACTTGAATGCCTGACATCACGTAACCCGCTCAGGGTAACCTTTGTGTCATCTGACACCTGTACACACTGCACAAACAACATTCCTGACAATTACATCCACGCACTGTGGTCCTGTCCACCTGTCCAGGGCAATTGCCCAGTTGCCCATATTGTTAATCTGGCCTTGCCCTTTTGCACCCTTGATCCACACTTCACCGAAGTCTGCATTGATGCCGACTTTTGGCAAGTGTATACCCACAATCCCCCGCTGAGTAAGAATTTTGAGAAGAAGACGGAGCAATGGCTCAGGCGCCTTTACTAAAAATATGTATTTTCAAACGAAAGAAGTTTATTTAAGACAAGTTATGATCTTTTTTTCGAGCTCTGGATATTTTAGACTAAGATTTAACGTGGACAGCAATAAAGTTAAATAAAAAAAGGTAATTGTGGTGTTATGGGCACCAGCCTGGCCATTTGGATGCAGGAGCCAGGATCACCCAGTGATCAGCCCGACACCGCCCCTCCTCCTTCTCACTTTCAGGCTGCTGAGGACCACAGCTGACCTGAATCCCTCTGACGACCCACACCTGCGATAAAAAGGCTGTGCCTTCAGCAGCCTAGCAGGCCTCTAGGCAAGACCTGGTGACTTCTGCCAGGGTGATGCATGATCTGCGGGTTTGTGGCTGTGAAGTTTGTTTTGTTTGGGTTCCTGCCCATGTGGGGGTGGTGGGCAAAGAGAGGATGGACTCTATGGCCAGGGCGGTGCTGAGGAGTACTGTTGTGGACCTGGAGGTTGCCACGGGCTCCCCTGAGTATTGTTCAGCGACAGGCAGGGAGGCCATGAGATTGTGGCAGGCATCGTGGATGGTGGGGTTTTGAGTAGGAGCTTTTATGGGTTGCATGGTTTGGTGGGTGGCTGTGGGTCGGTCCTTGATCTTCGTAGGACTCGGTGGTCCTCACCCGGTTGGGGCATTGTGGTCTTTGAAGTGGGCTGTTTTTGGTGGGGAAACACGTGGACGGGAGGTGTGATTGTGGGGAGCCTGAGTCTGTGTGCCATGTTCTTCTGCACTGTGGACGATATGGTCGTGAAACGGAGGCCTATTTTTGGAGGTTGAGGGCTACGGGTCTGTCTGTTTTCTCTGCGGAGCTTGTTGGGTGTGGAGGACTGGCGTAGGGTGTGGGCCCTGATGTGGTTTCTGCATGTGGGGTTTATGAAAGGCTGTGATGCTCTCTGGCGGTGTGTTTGGGCGGCTGTGGCAGCAATACGCCTCTTGGGCTTCTAGCCTGCCTCCCTCACAGTCTTGGAGGCAGCAGTGCAGGCGTTCTGCTGTCCGCCAAGCCTCGTTTTTGGTTTAAACCCCTTTTGAATTGATGAATTTTAACTTTACAAGTTTAACCCTCCCACTGTCCTCATGGATGACCCTACAAGGAAAGTTGACCATTGAACAGGAGTGACTGAGGTCCACGTGGCAGGGGTGAGGTGGTGCTCACTCCTCACCCCTGCCACATGAACCCAAGGGATAAACCGTCAACCCTGCTCCATGGTCAACTTTCCTTGCGGGGTCACACCCATTAGGACAATAGGAGGGTTAAAGGTTAACTTGGTGGTGCAATTTAAATTGACTTTAGTTTTAAAAACACTTTCTGTTCCGGTAAAACTTTTGATTTTAACCAGGTGTTTCAATGTTGATAATTAGTCCTTTTAAATGTTAACTTTTTAGTCTTGTCTTTGTTTGGCATTATTTTAATAATGCTTATCAGCTGTTTCCACTTGTTTTCAGAACCTTTTATAACAATTAAACCCATTTTAACACCACTGTCATGTTTCTTATGTTACCAACCCCCCCCCCCCCCTCCATTTTAACACCTCCTGCTGGGGACGTAACAGCTGCTAATAAATATTGGGCATCCTGGCATGTGTCCCAGTCGATGACACGATGCTCCCTGTCCCAGCTTGGCACACTTGTACCACGCACTCGAAGCCTTGCTCTGAGTGCACTTCCCAGAAGGGCGCAGTGCGAGTATTGGGACTGGGCCTTTATTTTCTCACATTGGGTTGGTGAATCATGACTTTATTCAGTATTAATCTGTAAAAATAAAATGATAAAATTACTGTCTGATTTTTTTTTTGGGAATGTTTATAGTTGTGAACACAGAGAACTGACCTACAAACCTAGTCTTTACAGGTGATTAATCAGGTCCACTTGCAGTTTCTAGCACTAGGCTGGTCGACTGGGATCGATCTTGAGAACATAACACAGTCGAAACCACAAAACACAAAAATACAATTTAGAATATTTAAACAGCATTTCTTCTATGTCCTGGAAATAAAATTGATCTGATTTTATTTCAGCTTTGTGAGAAAAACAAGGTCTCAGGTGTTGATCGGAAGATTAACTTCATTTATGAGAATTGTGTTATTAAAGCAAACCAATTAATTTTCATGAGGTTATTATTACAAACACAGCTCAGACATTCATGATGGAAAGATTGAATTGTGCATTAAACATGGCAAAATTTATGTTTTCATTCAAATGTTTTTGTTTATGTCAGTACAATCAGCAAGGCACCACAGGGAATTGAACCTCGTCTCCTTCCAGAGAGTATCGTTACAGGCGCCTTTGACTTTTTGTGTTGACAAGGAAAAGGAAATCCTGCATCAAGAAATACACGAATGCAGGAAAAACAACGTTTTAGGCCCGATTCAAGATGAGTTACTTTAATGAGTTGTAAATGTTTTCTATTTGAATGTTTGGGAGGTGTTTTAAACTTAAAAATACGTTTTATGTTTTCATTTCTTTGGAGGGCGGCTCATTTTTCAGATTAGCAGTTGCTTTTCTCAGATTAGTCACTCAATTTACATCTGGTTCCAACTAAACCTACTTCTTTAACAGAGAGTTTTGTTCATTTTTTTCAATTTTTAAAAAGTGTTCTAAGGAAACCCAGTGGATTGCATCGAGTCACTGACTTGTTGTGTCAGTCTTTACAGCAATCCTCATACTGAGCAAGCATGCAGCGACAGTGGAGAGGAAAAAAGCCCCTTTAACAGCTAACCTCCTACAGACCCCCAGTTCAGCATGAACAGCCGCCTGCCTCGGCTGACCGGGGTATCGAGATGACACACCCATATTTTTCTCGCTAAGATTTTTGTAATCCGTTCGGAAGAAAGTGTAATGTACGGTTGGTTATCTGAGCCACACGGAACTTCATGTGCAGCCACTTACATTTCTTCACTAGAGGAAAGGATTGATTAGGAGCATGCACCCCCACACAGGATGCCTCAAAACAACCAGCTCGGCTGTGGGAAGTGTGGTATGTCCTGATTTTGGGGTCATCACCCCAACAACATGATTTTGGGCCTAAATAACAAATAGCCACTCTCTTGTGCCAGCAGGCAGGTTCCTTTAGAAAATGTATTCAGTAATTTTCTATTTATGATTATTATTATTATTATTATTATTATTATTATTATTATTATTATTATTGTTATTATTGGAAATAACGCATCATACATAACTTTCAGAAATTGTGAAATCATTTAGAAGAATTGTCCCATGATCATTCATCCAGTTAAAATCCTTTACCTCAGAACCCTCCCCAGTCAAGTCAGGTGTGCCCCAGGGCTCTGTCCTGGGGCCCCTCCTCTTCATAGTATATCTCCTCCCTATCGGCAAAATCTTCCGCAAATTCAATATCCAGTTTCACTGCTTTGCAGATGACACCCAGCTCTACATTTCCAGTAAGCCCAACTCAACTCTCCCACCATCCTCCCTTACACTCTGCCTCTCTGAAATCAAATCATGGTTCACCTCTAATTTCCTCAAACTCAACGGCAATAAAACTGAACTTCTTCTAGTTGGCACTAACTCCACGCTCTCAACATCTGACAGCTTTTCTTTAACTATTGACAGTGCCACAGTCTCCCCCTCACCTCATGTCAAGAGTCTGGGTGTCATTCTCGACAGCTCCCTTTCTTTTCAGGCTCACATTAATAACTTAATTCGGTCAGCATACTTCCATCTACGTTCCATAAACCGTCTTCGTCCCTCACTGACCCCTCACACTGCCGCCATTCTCGTCCACAGCCTCGTCACCTCCCGTCTCGACTATTGCAATTCACTTCTTTATGGTCTCCCCAACAAACTCCTTCATAAACTGCAACTGGTCCAGAATTCAGCAGCCCGTATTATCACCAGAACCCCTTCCTTTCACCACATCACGCCGGTTCTCCAGCAGCTCCACTGGCTCCCAGTTAAATTCAGGCCCATCTTCAAAATTTTCCTCCATACCTTCAAAGCAATCCACAACCTCTCTCCTCCATATATCTCAGACCTTATAAGTATTCACACCCCGTCCCGTTCACTCAGATCTTCTTCTTCCATCCATCTTGCGGTTCCTTCTGCCCGTCTCGCTACCATGGGGAGCAGAGCTTTCAGCCGCTCTGCTCCTCGACTCTGGAACTCACTTCCCCCAGACATCAGGAACATCGACAGTTTTACCCTTTTCCAATCAAAACTCAAAACACATATGTTTAAATCTGCCTACAACCTCTGATTTTATTGAAATGTTTCTCTCTGTTTTTTCTTCTTTGGGTTTTATTATTGTTTTATTGTATTTTATTACGTGTTTTGTGTAAAGTGACCTTGGGTGTCCTGAAAGGCGCTTTGAAATAAAATGTATTATTATTATTATTATTATCATTTTTCCTGTTGGACTTTTTCCAGCTGTACTTTGCTTTCACCACGAGATGGCGCCACAAACACGCACAACAGTAAAGATGAATGAAAAGCTGCAGAAATAAAACATCAGACATCAATTCTGTTTGCTTCACAGCCAGACAGGACACGGTTACAAAAAAATATAAATAAATAAAAATAAAACATTTTTCCCGTTTATGCTCCTGATTAAAACCAAGGGAAAAGTAGCAAACTTCACTTATTCTTGGTGTAATTATAAAGTGATTTTAAAAAATTAATCTTCGTGTTAAATTGTGACTTTTATTTCAGCATTTGGAGACGTTTGGATGAAAATGCGCAAATGAAACACTTCCCTGCTGCTGTCAACCGGTGCGGGACTGCTGAAGTCATTTTGGCATCGGGGACTCATTAAATCGACAGACCAAAGGAATGTGAGGAAAAAAAAAAAGAAGAGTTTCCAGACTCGGGATGGGTCTTAGTGGGAGACGCACACCGACTGGGAGGCAGAGCTTTCGCAAAAGGAGCACATATGATGGTAAAATGAGCGCATGGAACTGCCCCCCTTGTTAAGTAGCTGATGGTTGAAGGAATTCTTCCCACTTGGAAAAAGGCTTTCCCCTCTTGGACATCTGCTGGAGGAGCTTCCACAAGGACCCGGCATCAGCTCCTGTTCATCTCCAGAGTGGGCTCCTCACAGTCACTTTTACCCGGAGGGCTTTTATAGGTGAGCACTTTTATTTCTGCTAAATCACTTTGTTGCATTTTAATCATAAAACACATATGTACACACACATACATATTTTTTTCTAAAATTACAAAAAAAAAACTTTATTCTGAAGCATAAGTCATTGTGGCGATGGGATTACTGCTACTAAATTGATGCAAAAGTCAAATAGACAAAATTAACATTAATATCGCAGCTTTAATTTGTTATTAATGACATTGTAAACCAGTTTCATTGATGAAATAAAAATACAAATGCAGGTAAAAACATGACAAATGAACCAGGGCTCATTAAATGAAATTTTTAGTTATAATAATTATGATTACAGATTTGTGTGTGTGTGTGTGTGTGTGTGTGTGCGCGCGCTTGCAGTGTTGCTGCTTGTGCGCCAGGCGGGGTGCTGAGCATGTGGTTGTGCTCTTCACTTCTAAAAATGCCAGTTTAGGAGATTATCTTCTTGTAAATGTTAACCTCTAAAGAAAAGATGATTTCCAACAGACAAGGGTGTGATTTCTAACATTAAAGGGATTGAATGTTGGGGTGCACGTGTGTTTTTGTGCATATCAGATCTCTGGTGGAGGTGTTTGCCGCTGCCCTACAAGGACACCCGCACTCCGTCCCTGCAGGGCTCTAAACCACAGATCAGACGCTGCTGCATGAGCAGGTCTGCACAAAAATGATCAAAGCAACCAGAGAGTAATCAATTTCCAGCCACTGTCTTATGAAACCCAGACAAGCTTGTGTTAATAGTTTTTTTTATCCTTCATTACCAAACACCAGCAGTGTGTCATTCAGTACTAATTACATACCTCAGGGCGAGGGTGTGGACTGGAGGCAACAAGGTGGGGCTCTCATTGTGTAAAGGAGCTTTGATCTTTATGTTTTCATTTTAAAAAAATGAAACTCGTGGATTCATCTCAACCAGTTGTGTTTGTTTCACTTTGACCACAACACGTCTTCTCCCTTCGCCTGCAGACTGATTGATGTGCTGCTGATCCTTCAGAGTGAAACATGAAGATAAGGCTGTCGGCGGTCGCGGCGGCGGCCTTCCTCGCAGCCCTGCTGTCCTCCATAGACGCTCAAGGTAAACGAAACCACCTGGTCTCTCTCTCCTCTTACATAACTGTCTCTTTATCTCCTCCTCTCTCCTCTTTCACCTTTCATCTCCACTGGGAGGGAGGGAGGCGGGAGGCGCGGGGGGCTTCTCAGGAGCAGCTTTAATGTCAGTAAATTTGATCTCTGTCTTCCCCTGATTGTTTTGAATAAAGTCGCAAAGTCATGTTGTGTGATTATGTGAGTGATTCATTGATGCTTTAATCTCACCCAAAATCCAGATTTCTTCTGTTTAATCTGTAATTTAGATTTATGAGCAGGTTTTTCATCAGATTAGGTCAATTAAAGTTTGTTTAATGTGTTTCCAGTGTGTTCCTGCTACTTTTAGATTTAGAATAAAATGAGTTTCCCCAAGCTAAATAGGAAAAATGCCAAAATTCTTGGTAATTAAGTTTATTATAATATTGTTAAGGATCTTGTTTGGGTTTAGAGCGGGCTGCAGGGTAAAGTTGATCTTTCATCGTGTCGTTGGAGCTCAAGTTTTCTAAAAGTTGCTTCCAAAGAGTAAAAAAACTTCAACTGTGAGCTCTGAAAGACTCGAATGCTGTGATGTGCTGCAGATATGTTGAACTCATTCATTCATTCAGTCATTTATTTAAAAGCTACTGAAAAAGCGGCATCTGCTTTCCCGCTTAAGTGTAATTTTCTGCCCATACGTGACATTTGTAGTCATACACGATTAACCGTAGTTTGGATGACTTATCGTGACGTCTTATTTCAAACATCTCAGTCCAAATAATTGCATCCGAGGATTTATAGTATGGAAACTTTTTCTGTCTTCCTCCATCCTTTGAGAGTTCCCTTGTCTGCCCTCACATATCTCCACTAACCGAGTGGAAAGATGAAATATGAGAGTAGCGAATGAATCCTCAGACGGCGCAAAGATATAGAGCCTTTCTGAAGTTTTCTTTTCTTTTTTTTATTTTTTTGCGGCATCCGCAGAATCGCTGAGTTGCAAGACATATGGAAAGTTAATATGCACTAATGTTTAATGTCAGCACATGTTGCGGAATTACTTTGGCATCTGTCCGGCCTCTTTGGGGGGGTCGGTGTTCTGTCCTCCTCCCCTCGGTTGCTACGGTCAGGACTGCTGACTGGATGGAGACGGAGGAAACACAACAGTAGCCAGACTCGGGCCCCCTGGGAGCCAGAGGTGTTCTTTATTAGGAACGGATGGGACCCTCGTTCAAACAACAAGAGCGACCACAGAGTCTAAATAACACACCAGAGGTTGTTATTCCAACAAAACCACATCTTTTTTGTTTTAAACCAGAAGCACATTTGGTCAAACAGGCTGTAACAAATTATGACAACACTCAGACCTTCTCGCCAAGAAGCAACCCGAGTCGAGCAACTGCACTTTAAAGACCTTTCTGAATTGATCTGTCACACACAACTCTTCCTCCTACACATCAAGCACATTTTCTATACCCCCCCACCCCCACGTTTGATGCTGGAGTTGAAGAAATAAGGGTGAACACGGTCCACCGGGGCTCCTTGAGTTGAAATGCCAGGTTGGTGATCCTCCAATCACACTTTTACGTGTTTGGCAGGCTCGTGTTTGTCATTGCCTGTGAACTCCGTGTCCCACACTATGGCCTTCTCCTCATAGTGTATTTTACAATGATATTCTTGCCTGATATGCAAACAAATGACACACAGCTCCAGTGCATGCTCATCTTTCTAATTATTCTAGCAACAAACCACCAAATTAGTCAAGGTAAGGCTAACAAAATCAGCAAATTAGATGGAAAAGCAAGATTTCTACACTGTAAAAATGAAATGTTGGCTTTACTAAACCAAATGATGCCAACTGGTTCTGCGTAACCGAGTTGCATAAATGCAAAGAGATGTATTCATTATCATTTTAAAAGTAAATGTGTATTACTCTTTACCTTGACGCAGCTAGCTTTAGTGGACGTGGTTGACATAACTTGTTTAAGTAAATTCAACATTTATTTCTTAGGCTGATTAAATTAAATGCAATTTTAACACCAGCATGCAACACATACGCTCCTTTTTGATTTAGAGTTAAAATGCAAGCCAACTGTAAATATTTGTCCCTTTTATGTCGGCCATTTTTATAATGCATGCAAATTCACATTCACCCCTCCCCCCCCCCAAAAAAAACGAATATCATTATAAAATACGTTTGTCATCTCTGTCTGTGTGGCCCCAGCTGTACATGGAAAACTCCTCATTTGTCCAGTCGATCAAAGTTGTTGAGATAAACAACTTTCTCATGTACATGATGCATGACGCTGCCGGCCGATTTGGCCCGATTCGAAGACGCGTCCCGCTGCTGTGGACGTTTTTGTTCTATTTGTTGTATTCATCTACACCTTTTTCTCTGTTATCACACCTTTTTTTATTTGATTTCATTTGACTCTAAAGACGTTCTTTCATGCCTTCTCACGCATTTTGCTGCCAAAGAAAAAGTACACAAGAGTCTCCAGCGACGACTTGTGTGTTCTTTTTAAAGGTTTGCAATGGATGTGTGCCACTCACTCGTGTTAAAGAAACTTTTTTTGTGTCTGAAATATGTTTATATACAAAGTATATACAACATATGGTGTTCAGTTTTGACAAGATTAACTCGTCACTTTATGGCAATCTTGATTCCATTGTATAATCGGTAACTTGTCTTTTGTTTTTTATCCTAAACTCAGCTCAATCATAAGATAGTATGTGGTCGAGGCATGCAATGTAATGAATGCACTTAGCATGTGTTGTGTGGTTCACTCACTTTGGTAGAGTCTGTGTGAAGTTGTGCACACTGCCAGTGCTTGAGTTGCACGCCCTCCCCCCACCCAGTTGGGCAACTCAAACAAGTGCCATTTTCTGTCCAGGAAAAAAAAAAGAAAGAAAAATGGCTACTCTCACTCTCTTTTAATGTCGTCACTGTCGTAAATGGATGTGGACTGTATGTGCCTGCACCCCAACAACGAACAAGCGCACTTCAGCCGTGAAGTGTTTGTAGTTGGGATTGATGTGAATGCTTGAACAAACGCCTGACGCCCGTTTGATCAGAAACACTTTGATACACGTCTGTCTCCCATGTCGGAGTTTAACTTGATTTCCTCTCATTTGCAGTGGAGCCCCCCTCAGATTTGAAATTTAAAATTCTAAACGAGAACACGGTGGACATGTCGTGGATAAGACCCTCGTCGACGATAGAGGGCTTCAGAATACAAGTTGTATCAGACGCAGGTAAGAGTGAAGCCCGGCGTCGCTTTGGTATGACCGGACGAGCAACTCTCTAACGTTGCACCTGCAAATGCTCCTCCTCCTAGATGAACCGGCCAGAGATTTCACCCTCGGTGCAGACACAACCACAACCTTCATCACCAGTCTGACCCCTGACTTGGACTATACCGTGTCGATAAGCTCCTTTTACGGTTCAGAGGAGAGCATCCCTATCTACGGACAACTGACAAGTACGTAATCTCTTCTATGTACATTTTCCCTCTGAAGAGCCAGACATCGTAATCCTTTAAAGTGGTCTCAATCAGTTCTCAAGGACTTAGAAACCCTTAAAACATTTTAGCTGTCCATTTGGAGCTTCAGGTTTATCATAGCCTACAAATCAGACATAGAGCATTAAAATTAAAAGCCTTTTTTTCCCCACCCAAATTCATGGAAAGAGTGAAGTTATGCAGTTTCCACTTAGCCACTGAGAAATGTTGGAAAGTGATGAGAAATAACATCTGTTTACCGTCTCGGGTTGTTCTCTTTTCATAGCTTATGAATGCGGTTTTGATCCTGCGGACTGGCTTTTATGATGTGTTGATTTTCTAGACTTTCTCTCTCTCTCTGTGAAAAACTTGTACAGCACATTGAAGGTTTTAGCGAGGCAACTCACCAAGTTCTTCTTTTGTTTCAGTTCAGTCGAGTAACACCAGTGGACGAGTCAGGAGGCCGCAGTCAGATGCAATCAGTGAGTATGTTTACTGTGGTATCTACCAAAGAGACTGGACAGAAACAGGCTTTCCAAATCTTCAGATCTATTTTTTTAATTGTCACTGCGATGTTCTGTTTGTGGCAGAGCGGCCACCAGGCCAACGGGGTTAGGTTCAGGTAAAGGGACATAAACATTTTGAAGCTCAATATTGTGTTGCATACAATGGAATAAAAATTGTTTATAATTGTTTAAAGATTTTAGTCGTCGTCTTCCTCTGCTTATCCGGGTCCGGGTCGCGGGGGCAGCATCCCAACTAGGGAGCTCCAGACCGTCCTCTCCCAAGCCACCTCCACCAGTTCCTCTGGCAGGACCCCAAGGCGTTCCCGGACCAGGTTGGAGATGTAAACTCTCCAACGTGTCCTGGGTCGACCTGGGGGCCTCCTGCCGGCAGGACATGCCCGAAACACCTCCCCAGGGAGGCGTCCAGGAGGCATCCTGACCAGATGCCCAAGCCACCTCAACTGACTCCTTTCGATCCGGAGGAGCAGCGGTTCTACTCCGAGTCCCTCCCGAATGTCCGAGCTCCTCACCCTATCTCTAAGGCTGAGCCCGGCCACCCTACGGAGGAAACTCATTTCGGCCGCTTGTATCCGCAATCTCGTTCTTTCGGTCATTACCCAAAGCTCATGACCACAGGTGAGGATTGGGACGTAGATCGACCGGTAAATCGAGAGCCTGGCTTTCTGGCTCAGCTCCCTCTTCACCACGACAGATCGGCTCAGCGTTCGCATCACTGCAGACGCCGAACCAGTCCACCTGTCGATCTCCCGATCCCTCCTTCCCTCACTTTTTTTTAGTTAGATAAATAATCAATATATGAATATATTTTTATATCTAGATTTTAGTTGTACTAGAAAAAAGGATTCAAATTTTATTCAACGAGACCAGGAGGTTTTCAGATTAAAGTGCATCCCTGTAGACCCTGCCAGTTTTCTTTCAATAGACGTCTTAAACGTTCCAGGAAATTACATTTTTGATTTAAATCCCAGCAGATTAGGGTCAGAAAAGTTGAACCTCAGCTGAAGGTTTAGTCTGCAAAGCCACATTTCAGCCTCCGTCTGCTGGAATAACTACAGCAGCCCGACCATCATCGCGTTTTCCCTTTGACGCCTGATTTAGTCCAACAAGCTGTCAGAGATTAGATTTTTATTTAGACGCACTTAAAGAAATTAGTCAGTGTTGTAGAAAAATAGGCAATATTTTATTTTATTATATTTTTACCATTTTTGACTTACTTGAAACAGAAAAAATGTGTGCATCTTTCTTCACATCCATCAGTAACCAGTACAGTAGATGTTTTTAATCCGGATTAATCAAAAAGCTTTAATGAAATATTGTTTCTCTACCTGTTTTTTGACAGAGTGCTCCGTCAGTGCAATAGCAGATTTAGTTTTTCTGGTGGACGGCTCTTGGAGTGTGGGCAGAGAAAACTTCAAACACATTCGTAGCTTCATTGCTGCCCTAGCGGGGGCCTTTGACATCGGAGAGGACAAGACCCGAGTGGCTGTGGTTCAGTACAGCACTGATACTCGCACAGAGTTCCCCCTCACCAGATACACAAGAAGAGGAGACCTGCTTCAGGCTATAAACTCCCTACCATACAAAGGAGGCAACACTATGACTGGTAGGGTGCTCATCAGCAGGGTTTATGTTCATTGGTGCAAGAGAGTGAAACATTAAAAAAAATCCATGTATACCTTTCATTTTTAAAGGCGACGCCATTGATTATCTGATCAAAAACATCTTCACTGAAGCTGCTGGATCAAGGAAAGGTTTTCCAAAGGTAGCCATGATCATCACTGACGGAAAATCCCAGGACGCAGTGCAGGAGCATGCTGAAAGGCTTCGGAACATAGGAGTGGAAATTTTCGTCCTCGGTATGTTTTATTATTCAGTGTTTTGCTAAACTGTGCTCCCCCCACGCAACTGTCTGCCTGTTCTTGGAAACCGTTTGATTTTCCATCGGTTGTTCATCATAAGAGTTTACTCAGAAGAAATAAAAAAGGAAAATAGTGTAGTTTTTCATCTGACTTGAGTAATATTCCAACAAGATGTGTGACATCTGCAAAGTGGGTTGGAGGAACACACGAGTTACTGGTGCTGTCGTACATTTTTCCATGTAGGTATCAAAGGAGCAGATGAGGATGAGCTCAGGGAAATCGCCTCCACACCTCACAACAAACACGTGTACAACGTGCCCAACTTTGACCTGATCCAGGACGTCCAGAGAAGGATCATCACTGAAGTTTGTTCTGGCGTTGATGATCAGCTCAGCTCTCTGGTTAGTGGGGAAGAAAGTAAGTCCCACCACATTTGAACAATGAGGGTTCTATACTATCTGTTCTGGACTACAATGGTGAAGTACTTTTTACTTTCCAACAAACCCTTTTTATGTTTTGTGTGTTTTTCTCCAGTGGTGGAGCCTGCGTCTAACCTGCAAGTTACAGAAATCGCATCAAAATCAATGAGGGTGACTTGGTCCGCATCCCCAGGAGAAATTACAGGCTACAAGATCACCCTCAATCCCATGGTACCTGGAATGAAGCGTCAAGAGCTGTACACTGGACCTACACAGACATCCATCAACGTTCGTGACCTTTCCCCTGAGACAGAGTATGAAATCAGTTTGTTCGCCCTCAAAGGTCTGACACCAAGTGAACCCATCCTGGATCTGGCAAAGACCCAACCTGTCAAGGTGCTAACAGGTAAGCGTAGTCTACGATTGTTTAAACACACTCATGTATTGTTGTTAAACCTTGAGGTAATCTTTGATTTCCTCTCTTTTTTTCCCAGAGTGCTCTTTGGGAGTGGATGTGCAAGCTGATGTGGTCCTACTGGTTGATGGCTCCTACAGTATTGGATTAAACAATTTTGCCAAAGTCCGTGCCTTTCTGGAGGTCCTGGTAAATTCCTTTGACATTGGACCAAACAAAATCCAAATCAGCTTGGTCCAGTACAGCCGTGATCCCCACACTGAGTTCGCCCTAAACACTCACCATGACATCAACGCCGTGGTCAAGGCTGTCCGTACCTTCCCCTACCGAGGTGGTTCCACTAATACTGGCAAGGCCATGACCTATGTGAGGGAGAGGATCTTCGTCACAGCCCGGGGAGCTAGAGAGAACATTCCTCGCGTCATGGTTCTGATTACAGACGGAAAGTCATCGGACTCATTTAAGGATGCTGCCACCAAGCTGAGGAATATTGATGTGGAGATCTTTGCCGTTGGTGTGAAGGATGCAGTGAGGTCAGAGTTGGAGGCTATTGCTAACCCGCCGGCAGACAATCACGTTTTTGAGGTGGAGGACTTTGATGCCTTCCAGAGGATTTCCAAGGAGCTGACTCAGTCCATCTGCCTGAGGATTGAACAGGAGCTGCTAAAGATCAAAATGAGAAGTAAGTAGAAGAAAACACGAGGTGATGTCAGGAAAACTTCAAACAAGGCAAAATTATGTTCACTCAACGTGACACTGTTGCGGTTGCAAGTTGGAAAAACTCAGAGATTTGCTCATCATCGTGCTCAACGGCCGGGCCGATTTTATCAGCAATACCTGCTAAAGATCAAACGTTTGCGTACGAATGATTTATGAAAAAACATCGAAAGAAAGGCTGAAATATATTTAATGACGTGTGATTTGGGGAGGACAAGGGTGACATGCTCCTCCTTCTCCTGAGGTAGTTGGGATCCATTCGTGATTTCTGCTTATTTGTGCTGAAATGGGGTAGAACGTTATGTTCATGTTAATGAGGTCTAGTGACCAGATATTCTAAATGATTGTTTAAAATTTAGATCTTTAACCCCTCCAACACCACTCAACCCCCCCCCCCCACTCAAATTCTTACAAATTCTTCTTTTGCAGGTCTTCTTCCACCCAGAGACTTGAGGTTCTCCGAGGTTACCTCCAGAAGCTTCCGTGCAACATGGAAGGCTCCCGAGGCAGACGTTTTGTCTTACCTAGTGCGTTTCCGCAAGGCTGAAGATATCCTAGGCGACTATGTTTCTCTGATAGTGCCTGGTGATACCACCACGTCCATTCTTCCCCACCTTTATCCCCTCACCACCTATGAAGTCAACGTCTTTTCTCAGTATGATAAAGGAGACAGTTTCCCTTTGACTGGAAACGAAACCACCCTAGAAGGTAAAATATTTGCTCAGATTTGCAATAAAACTTTTGAATCGAGAAAAGAGTCGGCATTAATGATCTGATTTCCTGTCAGAGCAAGGAACTGTGCGGAATCTACGTGTCACAGAGGAGTCGACCAACAGTTTCAGGGTGTCCTGGCAGGCTGCTCCCGGCCCGGTGATCAGATACCGCCTGACCTATGTTCCAGTCAGCGGCACAGGAGAAATACTGGAAGCTCAAACCCTTGGCCCAGAAACTACCATAGTTCTCCAAGAGCTGTTCCCAATCACCACCTACCGTGTGTCTGTGTCTGCTGAGTACTCAACTGGCATCGGTGACGAAATGCAAGTTGATGGAACCACCAAGGAAGGTGAGTTGGGAAATTTGTTTTAGAGAGGAAGACTTGTAAACCTGTGGTTGTCCAAATTAGTTTTCTCATCCAGCGTTGTCTTCTTTCAGTCCGTGGTTCTCCTCGTGACCTTCGTGTTTCTGATGAGACAATATCTACAATGAAACTGGCGTGGCAGGCCGCTCCGGGGAACGTCGTCCAGTACCGCATTGCCTACAAACCTGCAGAGGGAGGTGAGAGGAAGGAGATTTCTGTCAAAGGAGACACCACCCAGGCTGTGCTGAAGAACCTCCAGCCAGCTACTGAGTATGAGCTGTTTGTTACGGCACGCTACTCTACTGGCATGGGCGATCCCCTACTGGGCACTGGAACCACCTTAGAAGGTAAGACATCAAACAATGTGACACCTCCACAGCCTGGTACCGTTGTTTTGATTGTCGATGCGCTGTTTTGCTTTGCACCCTTGGGGTTTGTACCACTGTGGAGATAAACGTATTACCGTGTCCGGCTTCGTTTCCAGAAAACCTCAGCCATTTACATATGGTAATTTAGGGAAATCTCTCTTTTAGCATTTCCAGATTTCCAAGCCCTGGCTTGGGTTAGGATTATCCCACATTGTTAGACGTTGCCAGACTGCATCATCTGGTATTCCTCATCAGAATACTAGATTATAATTTAGGGAGTTGCAGTTTTAATTTGCAAGTTTGGTTAATTATCAGGGATGTGGTTTGTGAAGAGAAGACAGGACGTGGCACGTGATGCAAGTCCTTTGGCGCAGATGGGTTGGGGAAGCTTTGCCGCCCATGAAGATGGAAATAAGTGTAGAATTCTTGTAAACTTTTAAAACATAAGGAACCGCTTGGAGACTAGCTCAGTTTGGTAATAACTTCATATCATGGCTTGCATGGGATGTAAGATTTAAAGCTTCACAGTCGGTGAAATGACATATCGATGGCTTAGTCATCAACCCAGACACAACTTTGCTTTTGCTGTAAATAATTGCTGCTGATTGCTTGCCTTCAGTCAAACACGTCTGACTAAACTCAGCCGTCAGCAGCTGTAGGCCAGCTGTGGGGTTGTGTTGCAAGGATCCCAACAAAAGATGGCCTGGTCTTCTGTTCATCTCACATAGAGCAGGAAGTTTGTTGTGGTGTCTCACCACAGGAAAGGAAGTCAGAGAAAGCGAGCTAAGGCGGGGCGAGGTTGGGAAGGGTCAAGAACAAAGAAACTTTGTCTAACAAGGATGAAAATCCCAGTTTGTCAGCTTCAGCTTCAAAATCTGAAGAGCGTACTGTTTAAATAAAGGACTCAGCTAGGGTAATCTGGGGTAGATGTTGGTTTCTGAATTTGGTTACAAAATAAAATCATTTGCTTTGGATAAAGATGGATGACATGCTTATGGTAAGGTAGAGTGGATTACTGTTTTGGCCAAACTCTTCAGGAAAGGGCAGAGAGGAAATTAGGATTGCCTGGATTCAATTATGTGTTCCTTCTCTGGGTGCTTGAAGATCACACCGACTTTGCAAAAATAGGAAAGAAGTTGGAACTTATTCCATTTATCTTTGTCTGTGCCAGCACGAAAACAGAGCAGTGGCTGTCTTTAATTATGCCCAAGGTTTGCATGAGCTAAGCTGGATTCTCATCTGGATGCATTTCAGCGCCATAAACTCGGGTTAGTAGGATTTATTAAAGCGAGTTTTAGTATTTATTGTTCACGATGATTCAGGAAACAATTAATGCAAATCTTTGCCTTTGCAAGAGCCTTGTTTGGATTACAGAATAGACTTCCGAAGGTCAAATCCGTGCTGTCGTCAGTCACACACCCACTCAGGAAAAGCCTCAGTGACAAAGCACATTTCAGAAGCTGTGAAACGGTCTAGCCACAACAATAATCTAACTGTGTTTAAAACCATTCATCACAACTTTCCCACTCTGTGAAGTCAGTGTGGGCAAAAAAAAAAAAAAAAAAAAAAAAAAACTGGAAGAGAGTGACTTCTGCACAAAGAGCTCCCTATGTGGCTTGCTCGAGGTGCAAGCCAGCACAAAAGCCTCGGGCTGGACAGAAACCTCCTGAACTGACTCATTCAGAGCACAAAAGGTGCCACGAAGCGTCCTGAGTCGAACCAGGATATTATACACAAACACGGTCAAATTATTTACTTAAGAACAGGGAGTTTTAGTCAGCATGTGGAAGATGTTACCTAAGATTACCTGGAAGGATGGGTGAGCTGTCTGTCTTGTCTCAAGGAAAACTGTCTGCACATCTTCCTTGAGGGTGGAGCAAGAGACAGGCAGAGGCAGAGGCAAGTGGATGAGTGGAAAATAAAATAAAATAAAAACGGCACTTCAAGATGTGAAGTACAATGCCTCGGGCTGTCTCGGTGAATCAAAAGAGGTCATATGTTCCGCAGTCAAAGCTGGAAAATTGTAGCCACTTTGCAAAGTGATTAACTGCTTGCATGGTACCTGGAACATTTTCAGATTCGGGTTACTGGCTCTAATTTGCAGTAGAGCACATCACCAGGTTAATTCACAACATCTTTCTTTGATTTCCTCCTAAACTGATACCTCCGGCACATTTTTAGACCCTGTCTGTGGCCTTGTCATGCGAGTTTTCTCCACCTTTGCAAAGATCCTGTGAGGTGGAGCCAGGAACAGTCAGTCTTGGCTGACAGAACCTGAAGACTTCACCTTTTTGGTGCATGAGCACCCATAACCTTTCCAAGAGAAATAAAATGAGAATAGTTAGAATTTGGGCACTGGTGCTAAGATGTTTTTTTTTTTCCTGGAGTCATTTTAAAGCGGTCTAAAGCCGGGCGTACACTGTGCGACTTTTTCACTCGCAGCGTTCAGCTTCAGCTCAAACTGTACGACTTCCTCGCAGAGCAGATCTCACGAGTCAGGCGCTCACACTGCACGACCCAGTTCTCGCATGCGACCTGACTGCTCACACTCTACGTCTGCTAGCAACACGTCGGCCCTAAAAATATGCTAAAAATAGCAGTTTTTACTCAACACGTCAGACTTTTTTGTCTTGTCTTGCCTGTTGTCCTTCGGGAGTGCTGCAGGAGGACACACAGGGATTTATGGGGGTTGGATGAGGAAAACGAAATAAAGAAAGTAAATCTGTGTTTTGTGATCAGTTTAATTTGACATGAACATGACAAACACGCTTTCTTGACAATCTTTGTGAGTAAAAAAACGTGTAGAAACAAAAACGAACAACGTGTGTTATTAGGGAAATAGCGAGCGGCGTTGATGCAGGATTGCGCATGCGCCGTGAGTGGTTCTGATACTTTTTGGGTCGCAGCTGCTCGCAGCGTCGCTTCAACAGTGCGATACCCTCACGAGGGATGAGCAAAATTTTAAACACGCCAGAAGTCCGTGCGACCTCACGACTGCTGATCGGCAGCTGGTCACGTGGTGTTAATCGCCTCTCGTAACCCCCTGTACACTACACGACCGCTTGGCGCAAAACTCGCCCCGATGTCGTGGATTCTCGCACGACTGGAAAATCGGCTCAAAAAAGTGAAAAAGTCGCACAGTGTACGCCCGGCTTAAGAAAGCATTTAGCCTAATCACTGAAAAATTTCTACCTTTGTCCAAATTGATTACGACATATAAAAGACACATAATCCAATCTTTTAAGACAAAAGGGCATTGCTGCAGCAGGGTGAAGTTTAACGTCTCTTTTCCTTGATTCTCATTTAGTTGACATATTTCTGGCTGCAGATGTGAAAGTTATGCAATCCCAGCAGAAGATGATATCTAGTCATGTCATATGTGGTTTTGCTTTAGACATCAATGTGAATTGTGCAAGCTGCTGTTGTTTCAGATCTTCATTAAAAGCCCTTTGCCTTCAAACGGATGATGGAGTATGGTCCGCTAAATGGAAGTGGCTGTAATCCTTTTTCTGTGATAATTATGGCTGTAAATTACCAAGCAACACGCGAACACGCTTCTTTCAAAAAAAGTGACAAAAGATTTGCTGCTTGGCTCCAAACTGCAGCAGCGCTTGCGTGCCATGTGTTTGCGTGCTTTGCCTTTCCCTTTTAAACCGTCTGCAGAAGTCATTACCTTGTGATCTCCTGGCCTCACGGTTCGCTCGCAGCCGGAAAAGTCAGTCAAGTTCATGCGCCTCATTCCGCCTTGCAACGATAAATCTTCTAATGCGATGATCTGGATATTTGTAAGCAGCCCACGCTGTTTTCATGGTTCTCCAAAATCTGGAACTCTTCATTAGTTTGTGGCTGAAGAAGCATCCTTTGCTCTTCAGATCGGTTTCCACGTGCAGCTGAGAGGGAGAGGGTGGGTAGTGACAGTCTAGTGTGATTTTTGCTTAAATGTGTGTTTCAGTCACGGTACATTTGAGTTACAGATCATTCTTTATGTTGTGTTATTTATAACAAAGTGCTTTTGTTGGGTTTGACAAATGAGATTTAGAGTTGGACCACCCTGCTTCAAGGTTCTGCTGGGCCTGTGATTATATTCTCATCAGCGCCGGCTGGCGTCTTGGGTTAGGTGCTAGAGTGTGGGCATCCTCGTGTGACAGATCTGGCACTATCCAGACCAGAGAGCCTACCTCAACATTGGGTATACCTCTCAGCCAAGCATCTGCTGGTTGTCCATCATGAAACACATCCATTAAATTCCCTCCGCAGCGCTTCCGACTATTTCTTCTGTCACGATAATCCCCCAGGAGAAATGAGTAGAAAAACAAGGGGGCACGCTCGGCATCTGCAACTGTAGAAAACACACTTTGTGGGTCTGGTTTCCTCCGCTTCAATGGAAAGTTCAAGTTGAGCCGGGAGAGGAAATGTGATTTGCGATGGTTTTTGCAGAAGTTTTTCCAAAGGGCTTCCAGAAAATCCCGTTGCCCAGACGGACAGAGAGATCCTGAGGGGTTAAAGTGGAGACAGATGAGTGAGGGTTGGTGGTTTATTGCTAGAGTGGCTCCTTGTGTTGATTCCTTTAAATCTCCACACAGCTGCTCTAGAAATCAGCACCAGTTTGACAAAACAATCTCTGAACTAAAAGTTGGTACAAGCCCATCTATCTCACACCAGTTGTTTTACACTGACCTGAATCAAGGTACACTTTTCTCATTCTGTTGGTTTCGTTCTGCCCACAGAACTCGGCTCGCCCAGGGACCTGGTCACCAAAGATGTCACCGACACCAGTTTCGGAGTGTCCTGGGTCGCTGCGCCTGGGAACGTCCGACAGTACCGGATCACGTGGAAGTCTATGTTCAGCGATGAGGCCGGGGAAAAAACAATCCGAGGGGACTCCACGGCCACCGTTTTAAATGGCTTAACCCCAGAGACGCGCTATCAGGTGTCTGTGTTTGCAATCTATGGTCACGGAGAGGGTCAGCCATTGGATGGAGAAGAAACTACAGACAGTAAGTTTATTTTTTCTCTTCTGGCCGATGTTTTAGGTGCAAACATTGCACAAGGCATTAACGCCTCTTACTGTATATAAATGGATTACTTATCCTTAGCCTTACTAATCAATAAAATTAGCATTGGGCTGCCATTTGTATAGCGCCCAGCGTTCAACTTTGTGGCTTCAGTATCTTGGCCAAGGACACTTCGGCACATGGCCTGCAAGGCCTGGGGATGGATTAGAGGACAACCACCTTCCCCACTCAGCGACTGCTAACCTGACAAAAAAAGAGTTCTGCACTCGTTTTTTTTCAACAAATTAGCTTTGGTCGCTAATATAAATGAAGGCCTAGCATCTACTAGCTGTGAGGTGTGCTCTGCTGTCTCCTGGCTGCAAAACCAACACAGCCTTCCATGATCGCGAGCCAAGGTGGGCGAGGCCACGACCGTGATGTAGGAGAGACTGGCTTTTTTCTGATCTGACCCTTTCTCCACCTATTTCCTCCATGCAGCCAATGCAGGCGACAGGTGTTTAAGACCATTTTCTTGTGCAACCCCAAGTGACAGATCAAATTAAAAAAAGAACAATTATTAAGGGTTCTCAGTGAACTAACTTGTTAAAGTTTCACAACGAAGTAAAAATCTTTGATTTTCCACCACACGTCCAGTTTCAACTTTTCTTTTTGGATTTGATCAAAGCTTCTCCTGATTCTGCCTTTTCACATCTTAACGACCGTGCAATGGTGCTGCAAATAAAACGTAGCGGTGATGTAATTTCCGAGACACCTGCACAGTCGTCATAGGAGACGTCCGACAGAAACTGGCCGCCCTCCTTGTTAGACTATACTCGCGCTTTGATGGGAAAAGCCCGTTGGATGGAAACTTGCACCATTTGGGAGGGATTTATCCACCAGTTAGTCGAATGGAATGTTCTCCCATAAAACTATTTCCATCCAACGGCACAGTTTATTGATTCTGGCCAGCTGAGGTGGCACATACATCAAATACATCCAGATTTTCAACTTAAATGATCACATTCTGCACTCCTATCATTGCCTTCTCTTTTGGAGCTCCACATAAATCAAAGGTCTCGTTGGGTCGAACTTGGACGTGTTGCTTTTTTCCATGAATAAAAGCGCGCCATCTGAATGCTTTCCCCAGCTTTCTGAAACCTTTGACTGTTCACATTATTGTTACAAAAAATCAGTTTAACAAACACAAGATAAAAAAAAAAGAACCAAAGATTTGAGCTTTTCTTTCAAATCCATCCAGTAACCGTGATCAGTTGTGTAAATTTGGGCCTTTTTGATGTACATTTCTGGAAATATTTGAGTAGGTTTATATTTGCACGCATATGGAAACCAAACTTTAGGCGTCCAAGCCTGTTACTGTTTAGGTTACTTAAAGCAGGAAATCCATGCTGCTTATGGCTCTGAAGGAATATTGGGTGGTTACGAGTGGATTCATCACAGATTCTCATTTGAAAAGCATAAAAAATCTCAGCCACTCATCATCACTCCCCTTTGATGTTGTTTTTGCAGTTTCAGCTGCAAACAGAGCCATTGTTGTGTCCGACGAGACGGAGAAGAGCATGAAGGTGACGTGGCAGCCGGCACCTGGAAACGTAGTCAACTACCGAGTCACTTACAAACCGCCAGGAGGACGGCAGCTGGCAGCTAAAGCCCCCGGTGGGACCACCTCCCTTGTGCTGAGACGCCTAACTCCCCTCACTACCTACGAGATCACCGTTGTGCCAGTTTATCGCTCTGGAGAAGGCAAAGCGAGGGAAGGAGAAGGAACCACTTGTACGTTGGTCCCAATTCAACTACATCCTGGTTACAAGAAGCAGGAAACACCAATTTATTTGAAAGTTTTTCTTGATTGTACATTTGTTTTCCTCTCCAGTGTCTCCCTTCAAGGGCCCAAGGAATCTCCAGACTTCAGAGCCCACTAAGACCAGTTTTAGAGTAACCTGGGACCCGGCACCCGGCGACGTTAAAGGCTATAAAGTCACTTTTCATCCAGCTGAGGATGATATCGACCTGAAAGAACTCCTGGTCAGTCCGTACGACAACACTGTGGTTCTGGAGGAGCTCAGGTGTGTCTTCAAGCTGGTTTCTCGTTTTAGCAACTGTTCAGTTTACTATAGAAATAAAATGATGTATATTTTGGTCCACAGAGCTGGTACCAAATACACAGTGAGTGTGTTTGGTATGTTTGAGGGAGGAGAGAGTATGCCGCTGGCTGGAGAGGAGAACACCACATACTCGGATGATCCTGATCCTCTAGCTTTCCCTGAACCAAGTAAAGTTCAAGGCTTTTTCTGGCTTAAAACGCACTCAAATGTGATTTAAGCTGCATTGTTTTAATTACAAAACCAAAGAACACGTTGGAAGTTCCAACAAGCGGAGCTCGTCTGTTGTTTTTCGTCTGCCATCGCCTTTAAAGCGTCGTCTCCAGCTTGTCATGTCTCCCACGAGCTTCAAGACTGAATCACATAAGAAACTTGGGAAAACTACTCTAAACACCAGCTCCATAAAAGACAAAAAGGATCTTTAAATGTTTACCCTCAAAGCGAATCGGCTCATGCAAAAGGCAGTTCCCCATGTCTCGCTTTCATCCCGGTGTCACTTTGGGGTTTTATAAAACCAGTTTCCAGTGGTTTAGAGGCTGTGGTGATACAAGCCATGCGCTGACGTTCTGTTTGCAGGTTTTGAATGTTTTACTGCCCAGTGAGTCAGAACAGGGCATGCTCTCGGGGAGCGTTTTGGACCTGTGAAGGTCAGTGTGACTCAATGCTCCTAATAAGGAGAGTTTGGGGGAATTTTTGGGATGGGGGAAGGTGACAGGGAACGACTTGGTCCTCTCAGCAGTTCTGTCTCCACACTAAATCGCCACTTTCAGGACTTTGCTACGACGTCAGAATACCATGACCATTTCAGCAGTGAGTGACGTCACTAATCAGCACCTAAAGGCGTCCACGGATGTTAATTCTTTTAAAAAAGTTTTATTTTGTTAAAGTATGCCGTAAACTATTCCATTTGGGGAATGCTGAAAGTCAAAACCAGTGTTTAATGATCACAGGAATAGCCGTTTTATTAATTAATTTTTTTTTTCACGGTGCTCTGTAGGAGCGGCAGAAATTATAGCACGGTGGGGAATTCCGCCGCTTCTTCTGTTTTTGGGAGAAACGGAGATTTTAAAACAGCATCAATGATGCTTATTTTCTTCTCCTTCCACGTCACTTCACTGGCAGCTCTTCCAGTTTCACAAACGTCGATTGTTTGGCAATGGTTGCTGATATAATGTCCTACCAAATTACGACCAATCAGCATGAGTTAACCACCAGTACCAGAACAGGTCATTTGGGAGTACATACCCCAGTCTGGGTACTTTGTTGGTACCTGAAATTACCCGGAAAGTTGTCCTGTTGAACTGGTGACGCGTGTGTACCATGAAGCTCCGATAGTGGACACAGGCCCTAATATCACCTCAAATATCCCTTCAACTTAAATTAATACATTCTGCAAAAGCAGAAATATTCCATGTTATTCCCATTTTTTTAGGAATTGGCTGCTAAAAATTGGCAGGTGCGTTTTTTGTTTTTGCAGAGAACAAGAAGGTCTGCTGTTTTTAACACAACCGAGACACGTTTATGTCTGCAGCTGTCTCACTCGTGTGGAAGGACAGTTTAGATGAGTCTGTTCAAGTCTTGGTGTTATTTACAAATGAGTAGAAACTTAATCTCATCAGTTTTAAAGTGAGCGTGATCCAAAACTGGACTGCACTTCCTGAGTTTTACAGCTTAAAACCAAATTTTATTCCAAAACGTGAAAACCTGCCAGTGTTGTGGAAACTCAACAAGCCTCCAGCTTTCAGCGATTTCCCGTCTCACAATGGTGGCTCAAGATTTTGTTGTCATAGTTTTGAGAAGTACCGACACAAATCACCAGTTTGTTTCTGGAACGCTGCACTTTGTTTATTCCAACCGTGAGATGTTTCCAGAAGCTTTTCCTCCTTGCTCATTCATGTTTACCCTCCGCTGTTCACAACACGTCGTTTTCTTTGACAAGATCAGACTCAAAGAAACGAGAGACGTTGAAAAGTTCCTTTAAGGTTTCCCAAAGGAAAATCAAATGGTCCCAGTGAATAAAAAAACCCCGTCAGGCCCACTGTGTCTCTATTTCACCCTGACCCTGTTTTGCTAGTCCGTTTGTTAGAAATAATGTGTGCTAACAAACGTATTTTATACTCCTGCAGGTTTTCATGACAGTTTGTAAATCAACAGTTTTCAGTTTGCAGCGGTTAGGTCAACATCTGCCCGCCACCGCTACACATCTGCAGCCCTTGTTCAGCAGTTGGGATCCCTCCTCTGTCATCATGCAGGTGTTTAACAAACGGGATGTAAATGTCATCCTGCTGCTCTGGAGCCCACGTTAGTCCCGCCGGTGGAAACATGTGATGATGGGCCACTGGAGGCACGATCCTCCTTCGGGACTCATTTGAAGGAAAAATATGCTTCAGGAAGGAAGATGATTACGCCACCTGGAAAACCAAAATGATGCTGTTATGTTTGTGGTTGAAAAAGGAATTTGTTTGGTCTTCTGAAACTCTCATCCTTGAATTTTCTTCTTCACCTTTCACATTTCCCTAATTGCCATTTTTAATGTCATATTTCATCTTTGTTTTGCTCATTGGAGCTGAAATGCATCTGGTTTGAGTTTTGCGCATCACAAACCTGCTTCTGCCCTGTCAGATGTCATGTGTAAGACCACGGCTCAGGCCGACATCGTGCTACTGGTGGACGGCTCCTGGAGCATCGGGCGTCTTAACTTCAACACCATCCGCGCATTCATCGCTCGTATGGTGGGAGTCTTCGATATTGGTCCTGATCGGGTTCAGATTGGTGGGTCTGAGGAATCGCATTCACAGGTTATTTGAAATGAAAGCCTTCCTCTGACGAAGACGTTGGGTGTCTTTAGGACTTGCACAGTACAGCGGAGATCCGAGGACTGAATGGGACTTGAAAACCCATCGGACCCGGGAGTCTCTCCTGCAGGCTGTGAACAAACTGCCCTACAAAGGAGGAAACACCATGACAGGTACTTCCATCGCATCCGTTGTGTATTTTTGTGATTAAAGAGGAATAACTGATATTCTGTAATGTTTGAACTGCAGGCATGGCTTTGAACTACATCCTAAAGAACAATTTCAAGGAGAGCCTTGGGATGCGACCTAGTGCCCGTAAAATCGGCGTCCTGATCACTGATGGCAAATCCCAGGATGACGTCATCATCGCCTCCCAGAACCTGCGAGATCTGAGCATCGAGCTCTACGCCATTGGTAAGCAAACATGACTTCCTTAAAGCCATCGCCAACCCCGCCGGACGAATCCGACTCACAAACTCAGCGGCTTGATTTACTTTAGGTGTGAAGAATGCTGATGAGAACGAGCTGAGGTCCATTGCCACGGATCCGGATGAAATCCACATGTACAACGTGGCTGATTTCTCCTTCCTGCTGGACATCGTGGACAACCTGAGTGACAACCTCTGCAACAGCGTCAAAGGTCCAGGTATGTTTGAGTTTGATGAAAGGGAGGGAATCAAAGAAAACCCTCAGGGATCAAAGCATCTGCTCTACGTTCAGACTTGATTAGCAGCTCACAGACATCCGATCAAATCCTCGGCTAAAAGTCTGGATTAATATGGGAAACAGCATCAGATCCAGATCCAGCCAAACTCCTGGAGATCTATTATTTGCTGCTTCCTCTAATATTTTACCAGCTCCCCTGGGAAGGGAAATAGCTTCCTCCTTAATGAAATTAAAGCGCTACTTGGGAAGTATCGGCTTTATAGCTTTAATAAGTACCATGCTGTCTAGGGTTCTGCTGGGACTTGCAACCGGAGACGTGCTTGTGTGCGTTGTCAGCTTTAAGAAAAGATGAATTTATTCAGCGATTGGAGGTTAAACAGGAAACCTTTTGATGTGTGAACAGGAGGAGCCCCCGACGCACCCACCAATCTGGTGACATCAGAGGTGACTCATCAGTCCTTCAGAGCCACCTGGACCGCTCCCGAAGGCCCGGTGGAAAAGTACCGAGTGGAGTACATGACCGTATCAGGAGCTCCCGAACAGGTACGGCCAGTCATAAACTTCCGCGTCAGCTGAGAGCGTCTCAGTGGGATGTTGGAAGTCTGGGATATTAGCGGGAATCTCCAGTCAAACCTCCGTTTTCAGTCTCCAGTTTGCGCTGGCCACTAGTCCGGTGTCTAATTCTATTACAGCCTGATACAGAGTGAAGGAAGACAAACACACATCTCCCTTTAGAGGGTTGGAATGATCGCTCCACTGGCCAGCAGGGTTTTACCTCCTCGATGTGAGGAAGAGATGAGCGAGTGGTGTCTGAATCCAATTACACTCCAGGAGGTGTTTTTTTACCATCCCCCAAAGGTTTTTCTCCATAAGTGAATTCTGTAATGCAGTTTGTTTTTATTGTCTGTGAATTCAGACAGAAAACACGCACACTCATAAGTTCATTCAATCTAATGCATTTATTTGTTTTGAATGGAAACATTTGTGCATTTCTTTTACTTACCCGAGATTATCTGTCACCCTGTTCTTTTCTAGGTGTTTGTGGACGGTACTGAGACCACCGTGGTTCTGCAGGGCCTCACACCTCTGACCAAGTACCTCGTCAACGTCTACTCGGTTGCAGGGGAGGACAGCAGCGAGCCACTAAAAGGAACTGAAACAACACGTAAGTCTTTTTTTTTAAACCCTTTAAACCAACTTCTGCAACCGACGCTATCCAAGAGCTTCCTAGCCTGGCAAGCCAGACTAAATGAATGTATTATTTAGTCTGGCAACGCTCCACTGACGGCTCTCGGTTGTGGGGCGGGTTCTACCGTTGTCTTTCAAATGATCTCCGCATGCTACTGGACAATGAATGTGACATACTCACCGCAACAGCCATCGGTAAATGAGGCGGTCCGCAGTTGAAGAAGGAGAAAATACATCATTTTTCTAAAAAAAAAATCACTTAAATACATCTATCTGCTCCTGATTCTAATGAAGCCCAAGTTCTAATAGTCCAAAAGTTTCAAACGAGCTGTCGCCATCTTGTTTCACTCTGTTGCATCATCCCACCCACCAGGCTTATAGAGTGCCCTGATTGGCCCACAAAGCGGATAAAGCTCTGTGATTTGTTCACTAAGCAGATAGAGCACTATGATTGGCCCACCATTATGGACCAATCACAGCTCTTTATGTGTTTGAAACCCCTCTAGAGAGCTGTGATTGGCTAGCCAGAGTCCTGGTAGGAGCTGTGGAGGTTCCAGTGGAGTGTTCCTAGACCAAACTTCGCAAAGCAAGAATTTGGTCAAGTTCACGAGGCTAAGAGCTTCCGATATGTAGAGTTAAACTAGACACGTCAGGTTAAAGGAAGAAAGGAAGCAGCAAAAAAAAAAAAGTTAGTTAGCTTTCAAACAGATAAAAAGTTTGTTTTCTCACATCCAAAGTCTTCACACGAGGCTTGGAAACTGTCAGTGAGTCCTTAATAACAGCAGAGGCTACAGAATTAAAAATATTAGGTAAAATTAACCCAAACTTCAGACATTGCCAATTTCATGATTCAGAATTTGTCACATTTTGCAAGATATTTAAAGGTTTGATTCTAAAATCTGTTGGGAATAAAATTCCAAATGTATAGTTCTGGAAAACAAGCGTTCCGTTTCAGCACGCTCATGCATCTCCCGTCGTTGTTTTTGTAAAAGTTTCTCCTGAGTCATCCGACCCGCTCTGGCTCAGTTGCACAGATTTCACACGCTGGGACTCTGATTCCTGTGTGGTCTTCTTTAATAAAACTTTCAGAGGTAACGTGTAAATCGTGATTTGCCTCTCAAGTCAAACGCGGCTGCACTGGGAGCAATAAATCTTAATTAGATGGAAATTTGAAGGAGATTTAAAGGTTTTATTCACTTTTTGACTCCTTTTTTTGTTACTTTGAGATCTTTGATGCTTAATTTGTGCATTCTATAAAACGTGCATGCATACATCCTCATTTGCATAATTGTATTTTAACGTGGCTAAATTTTCAGATATTTTACACGTATCCAAAGTTGCATCCGTTTGTTTTCTTTTAACCTAATGTCCTGTAGTGCCTCTGAGCGCCGTGAGGAGGATGACCGTTTATGATGAGCAGACCACCACCATGCGAGTGCGGTGGGAGGAAGCGCAGGGAGCCTCGGGCTACATGCTGCTCTACAGCGCCATCAACGCCACCCAGCCCACAGACGAGCAGGAGGTAACGCAAACTCAGCTCAGAGAGCGTGGGAGCTAAACGGGGAAAACAGCTAATCAACAACCGAAAAAGACACAATGTGACAGAAAAAAGTGGATGTAGTCGTAGCAAACGCACCTAATCATGCTGCAAAATGATTTTGATGAAATGCAGATGTTACTCAGAAGAAGCTTGCACAAAGCCACCACAGTTTTTCTCACACTTAAGGAAAAAGAGAACAGAAAGGGACCTTGTTAGTCACAAAGGGGAGGATGAACTATGATCTCAGTCTGCCAGGGGATCGTTATGGTTGTTCATGAAGTGTCAGACCCGGTGTGCAACAACCAAATCCAGCAAATGTGCTTAAAGCTAAAACTTCTTCTCACTGCCTTCAGGCACGAGTCTAAATCTGTTCCTCTCTACGTTTGCTGCTTTGTTCCAGCTGAGAGTGAAAGCCGGAACAACCGATGTCCAGCTGACGAAGCTGCTTCCCAACACAGCCTACTCCCTCTCTCTCTTTGCTCTTTACGGCGAAAGCGCCAGCGAGCCGCTGACCAAGCAGGGAGTCACCCGTAAGTCACAGTTTCATTCCACCATGTCAACACGAAACCCTTAAATACACCGTAGCGAAATCTCTTTTTTCCCCCCCACTTTCAGTGCCGATGCCACCAGCTGGAGAGCTGAGGGTTCGCGACGTCACCCACAGCACCATGGTGCTTCACTGGGATGCTGCTCCGGGTCCTGTTCGTAGCTACATCATCACCTACCAGCCCGAGGAGGGAGACGCTAAAGAAGTGAGTCGAGCTCCTGTTGCTGGATTTAAAAAGAAAAAAAAAAAAAACAAGTCATGTGGCAGCCAGATGTTAAGCCGCTTGGGCGTTTACCACACGGATGAAAAGGTTCCTGATGTTCCCACGTCTCTGTTCAGGCTGAAGATACAAGATTTACAAAACCCTGAAAACCTGTATTCTTCACTGGTTGTCTGTGGGAATCATCTGGTTTGATGGTGATGAATTTATCTAGATCTGTTTGACTGATGCTTTATTGAACTGGCTCCAGTTGCATGATAGATCCTGCAGCTGGTTGCTCGGACATTTGGAAACGTTCCGGGATTAGGCGCACAAAGAACGGGTTTTGAAACCATCAGAACGCGATTCTGCTTTGCTTTACGTGTGGTACTTTACGGTTGCTTGTTCTCCTTTGGGGAGCTCTTGGGAAACAGAGTCTGTGGTCTGCGTTTTGGTACATCCTCGGTCGTAAATCAGATCCGTAAAGCTCCCGGGATAGAAGCGCACATGTTGAAGTGGCTCGAGAGCCGAGGATGTCCGTGATGGAAGCCAGCGACAGCGTGCTACTCGCAAAACAAACAGCTGGACAAATGATCTCCAGGTGAAGTCTCAAGCGGGCAGATTATGATCCCGCTGAAAGACAAACACATGGCCACATGCTTTTAACGTTAGTTTACTTCTTCCCAACGAAACCTAACAATCCTGTTTGTTGTTCTGCAGCTGGAAGTTGGAGGCAGAGTGACGGAGAGGCAACTGGACAGCCTGATCTCACAGACCGAGTACGCTCTAGCGGTCACTCCGGTGTACGACGAGGGTCCTGGGCAGCCCATGCTGAATTCTGCAATCACTGGTACGAAAATAACAAACTTCCACGACGAGTTTAGATCATAGCTAAGAACAACCGTTGTCCTTTTTTACAGATGTGGTCCCGGCTCCAAAGAACCTGCGGTTCTCCGAAGTGACCCAGACCAGCTTCAGAGCAACCTGGGATCACGGCGCTCCCGATGTGGCTCTTTACCGCATCGCGTGGTCCAAGAAAGGAGAGGAGAACTTCCAATATGTAAGAGAACGATCCGCTTTAAATGAGTTTTTCTCAATCTTCTTTCAAATCTTTTCAGCTTTTGCCTATTTTTGAATCATCAGGCCATCCTGAACAGCGATGAAACAACCCACGTCCTGGAGGAGTTGGACCCAGACACGCCTTACGACGTTCGCGTCACCGCGATCTACCCGGACGAGTCCGAGAGCGAGGATCTGATGGGCACAGAGAGGACATGTAAGATCTTTAATCTGCCTCACGCAAAACGGTCGTGACTTGGTTGGATGTTAGTTCTGGGTCTGTCAGTGGTTACAGATGTTTTTAAAATGTTCAGTCAAGGGTTTGGCCGTTACATCTTTCTATTTCTGCCTCTGTAGTGTCCAAGGATGCTGGTAGACCAGGTAAGAATGTAAACGGTGAAAGCAGTAGGATGCTTTTTATTCGTGACAAAAGCATGAAGTCATCAGGACTGTTGTTTACGGGACAACAGTCTTTTCATCATCAAGAAACGTCCCTAACCCATCATCCCCCGCTCCGATGGCGCTGCCGCTGACACGGCTCCGCCCTGCTGTTTGTCTGTCCTTGTCTGTGTTTGTCTCTGACTTTAAATCAGTGGCTGAAGATGGATTTCCTCCATGCATGCCTGAGAAAATACGGAATTTAAATGGTTGTTTTTGAAGTCCATCCCATCCATCATCATCATCATCTGCTCATCCATCATTTATTTGTCCATTGCATTTATGAGTCCATCAGTCATCATCATCATCATCATCATCCCAGCTAAAGAAAAGACACGTCCTTCAGGAATGTCTTTTCCTCTTTAAAGCTGCAGTCCTTGTTGGCTGACTAGATGAAAACGGTCTTATAAAAACTTTATTGACAAGAACAAACAAGTCGAAGCCAACAAAATAACACAGGACTGCGTCTTTAAAAGATATCTAATGGACATCCATACATCAAACGCTTCTACTAGACGAAACAAAAGTCCATTTGCCCGTAACTCGTGAATAATCCGCCTCTTTGGATGCTTCGCAGTACCAAACGCACCGCCCACCGACTTGGTCGTCTACAACGAGACCACCACCTCCCTGAACGCCAGGTGGACTCCACCTTCAGGCCGGGTCCAGACCTACAGGATCACTTACGTCCCCACATCTGGAGGCAAGAGTCAGACTGTAAGTCACGCCCCAACACCGGGGGGTTTTACAAAAAAATTGATGATTTTGTTACATTTCTAGAGGATTTGGACTGTGCTCACAGTTTTCGTGACATATTAAGTGTTAAACAAGTTCAGCTGCATTTTCAAAAACAGATTTTGGATGCAAAACCCGAACTTTCAAAACAACAATTTGGTCTCACATCTGGCAGCTGGGGGGAAAATGAGCAAGATGGTGGGAATTAGAGTTTATTATCTATAAAGTTTCAAACATCAGCAGGTAGACTCATTATTCCAGGACCTTTGCTCCTTTTTCCTACACTCTGCGTTCCTCCCACGAGCCTCTTCACAAACGTTTCTTGGCTTTTGAGGCTTAGTGAATTTATTTCTACCTCCTAAGTTGTTACGTGTAAATCAGATCTCAGTGTTTGGTGTTTTAGTTCATTTTCAGTCACATTTCTTGAGCCATTAAGGTGACGTTTCCAACTCTTCTGTTGTTGCGTCCTCCGACACTGCTGAAGCTCTCCTACTGGTCCTAAACATGTGGCTGCTTTAACAAATGTGCAAACGCTCCATTTTCTGTCATGTTTATCACTTATTCTAAGGGTGAGACTTAAAACAGCGTGTTTGTGTGCATGTGCACCCACACTGACAAACACATAGTTTCACCATAAAATAAACCAAGGTCAAGCTTAACATTCCAAACAGTTTGGGTTAGAACATTTCTCCTTCAGTTCTTGGCTTCTTTTAAGGAAGCCATCCAAGAGAGACACAGCTATAGTCAAATGTAAGAATCCTCCTAGTTGAGGGTTTAATTAGAAATGAAACTTGCGCTCAACAAAACCAGCAGAAATACTGAGTTGCCTTTAGCAGCAATACTAACAGCAGCGGTAATTTGCCTGCTGGACGACCTTATTGTTCTCATTTTGGAGGAATTTTGTCCCCCCCCCCCCCCCCCCTGTTTTTTTCACAGCATTGCTTCAGTTTGCAATGTGCAACAGTCCACAGCTGTCGTATGATCCTGCCACAGCTTTTCAATCAAACCGGGATCTGGACTTTGACTGGCTCATTGCAACATCTCCATGTTCATTTCTTTCATCCGTTCTGCTTGTGGACTTTTGATCATTGCACGACCCCACTTGGTCCATTTCAGGCAAATATGCTTTTGGAAATTTAGGATTTATGGGTTGTCTATATGGTGCTCAGTAGGAGTATAACAATACACCAATCTACTATAAAACATTTATTATATGGTCAGAAATCCAAAATGCGAAAATCCATATAGTAACTATCAACCACACTTTTATATTGAAAATTGTTGTATTTGAAATTCCTCTGACATGCCTTTTTCCTGCACATCACCAAACGTGGTAAATGAAGAGTGACGCCATGGCTAGCAGTGAGAAAGAGGTCGGTTTTCAATCCTCTCTCTCCTGGGAAATGATCGTGTTTGGTCACCTGTAATATCGACTCATTTTGATTGATGGGTCCTAAATCGAATCAAATCCAAATGGCAACATAACTAAATTTAAGATATTGGCAAACATCAAATCCACTGTGTCAACCTAATATTGCATTATGATCAAAGTAGTGACTTACACCAGTAGTGCTCATGGGCTGAGGCCCAGATCATCAGTGTTCCACCTCCATGCTTAGCAGCTTGTATCAGGCATTTCTTTCTCTTTTTTTTTAGAGTCATGTTGAGCATAAGATCCACTTTGGTTTGGTTTAGTTTAAGGACGTTGCTCCATAACTACTTTTGATTTTGTTGAAAACTCCACAAAAAGGAAACAAAAAAGTAGACTCACACACATTTAAAGTGAATACAAACATTAAAAAGTCCATTTGATTCTTTGTTAGGTGCCGAAAGCCAAAAGCGGTGCAGTAAATTCATCAAGTCATGACAAACACCTGCTTCAAGCATCAGCACAGAGGTTTACTTTGGCGAGACCACAACGTACCAATCAAGTACAAAAACACTCTGAAGCGTCAACAGCCCAGTAGTTCTCCGGTGGAATTCTTTCCATGAGGTTATTAATTCTCAGAAGCCCATGGAGAATTTCTTTTATCCCATCAAAAACAGATCACGTATATTTTCCCCAACACACGATGGATGTTTGAATGTTTTATTTGAAGTTACAGCAGGAAGGAAATTCACTTTGGGCAGATAACAGCTGAGATGATGTTTCATCACTTAAACCAGGGAATTGCTCCCAGTAAGAGTCTCTTCTCCATCTAGACCCAGGTTGGAGGGAAAAAGACCAACGTCCTGCTCCCCAAACTGACCCCTGACACCGAGTACTCAATAGACGTGGTTGCCGTTTACGCCAACGGAGCCAGCGGGGACCTGAATGGACTCGGAAAGACCAGTAAGTGATTGACTGGTGAAGTACGAGTCTGTTATGGTAAATCTGCTGTAATAAATACATCACACATATTTTATTTTTAAACAACAGAGCCATTGGGAGGTGTCAGGAACCTGAGGGTGACCGACCCTACAACCAGCACCTTGAATGTCTTTTGGGAACCTGCTGAAGGAAGCGTTCGTCAATATCGGATCTTCTATGTCCCCGCAGCTGGAGGAGAGGAAGAAATGGTAAGCAGGAAGTAACTTTTGCCACTTTCTCCTTACAAATCACAAAAATGCACAATCTCTCCTACTGAACAAAGCTGTTGTGTTTAGGCTCAGGTGTCAGGAAACACCTACAACACTGTGCTGAGGAACCTGCAGCATGATACAGTTTACACTGTATCTGTGGTTCCAGTTTATTCCAGCGGAGATGGACAACGCATGTCTGAGAATGGAAAAACATGTAAGAAATGCACGCCGTGGATCATGAGTTATAATAAAAGCAATGGTAGAAAATAGACGGTGAAACACTAGAATTAGAAAAGCCAGTCAGATCTACGTCACATTATCCAATTAGCATTCATGTACTCACCCTTCTTGGCACGACAGGGAGCGCTGTTGTTGATTTAGAGTCCAGGAGAGAGTAGAGCCCGTCTTGGCTAGTATAAGCTAACAGTTAGCATTAGCAACTCTGCTAGATGGCAGAACTCCTTCAAGCTTGTGTTACTTGTGGAAATCAAACATCAACGTTGCAGGGCAAACGGAGTCAGTGGTAGAGTCGTGTTGCTGTTAGCCAATCAGAGATGAGATGTTCGAATTAGAGTTCAGAATCTGCTGCTTCGGCTGACACGTGCTCTCATGAACACTTCTAGTTCCTGAAACAGGAGCGCCAGAGCTTTTACGCTACAGGGAACATAGGAACAGCAGTAGAATGGGTGAATGACTGATCGTGTTGTGCAGCGCCTTGGGGGGTTGTAGAACCCTAGAAGGCGCCAAATACAGGCCATTTACAGAGATCGTCTCACAAGGCCTTCATTTATACTAGAGGCCACTGTAAACGTGGTGAAAAACGGGTGAACTTGGCCTTTAAAAAATGTAGATCAGGATTGGAAATGCCCTCGGATATTCACGGATTTTGTGCTGATGGGAAGGTTTTCCTGAGCCCAGATACCATTTATGTCAGTCCAGAGGGAACTCGTTAGCCTCAACTGCTGGCTTCATAAACGTCCCCAACTTTCTTTCATCATCCAGATCATGTTAGCCAAGCCAGCATAATCAAATGCAATTAGCTTTTATCAGGGAGTGGATAAGCACACATGAAATGTATTTTCCGTTCACGATGTAACATAAGCAACAGCTGAAAATGATGGTGTTTGGTGTTTGTTTCAACACACTTTTTCCAGTTTGTCCCACAGTTAAACCACCAAACTATGATGGGAATGACTCAGCATTTTGTGGTGTGATTGCATAGGAAGAAATTCCTCTGGACTGGCAGAGTCGCAAAGGGGTCTCCTCTGTCTTTACCGTAATAATAATAATTTACATGCTGGGATAAAGGGCAGCGGTCGGCATAATGGAAAGACTCGAGCATGCGGGAAGGGATGTGTTGAGTAGCTGGCTCCTCATTTTGGGAAAAAAGCTAACAAGAGAAGTTGGAATTGAAAGGAGGTATTATATATTTTATGGCTCTTGACTCTCTTGGTTCCATGTGTTCCACTTTAACCTCCGTTTTAGGCTTTTCCTTCCTGATTTTTTAACCAAACCCAAATTCTGCAGCCACAAAGCAGTTTTTTTTTGTCTAAAGTTGATCTAAACCTTTTATTTGAAGCGTTTGGCCATTTTGTCTTTCTATTTCTGCCTCTGTAGTGTCCGGGGATGGTGGTAGTAGTCCAGGTAAGTCTGTTTGTGGTAAATCATTAGGACGCCTTCTACTCATGACAAAAGCATGAAGTCATCAGAACTGTTGTTTCTGGGACAACAGTTGTTTCATCATCAAGTAAAGTCCTTAACCCATCATCCACCGCTCTGATGGCGCTGCCGCTGACACGGCTAAGTCCGAGTGTTCGTCTGTCATCGTCCATGCTGTCCATCCATTCTCTTCTGTGTGACTTCAATTTGAGTGGCTGAAGGTGGATTTGCACCATGCATGCTTGAGAAAACAAGGATTTAAATTGTTTTTTTTAAAACCCGTCCCATCCGTCATCTACTCATCCATCATCCGTTTGTCCCTTTGCATTCATCTGTGCATTTGCGAGTCCATCTATCATCATCATTATCTAATTTTGTGATCAAGCAACATTCAGTATCTGATGCAGTGAGAATTTGCAGATACCCGAGCAACAAGATTTTGTCAGTGAAACGTTAGAACGGAGGCTCTTTCATCTGCTTTTTGCATTTTTCGGGGATATTTATGAGATTTGACTGAGGAGCGGCACAGAGCCATCTGCTTTAGTTATGAGGAAGGTGCTTCACACAGAGCTGCACGTTTCATTAACCTTCAGGGCACGGACAGGAAGGGCCCCACTGACAACGGTAAACAGCGTCTTAAACGGACCCCGGCTGGTTGCTCGGGAGAATTGTTCCCATTTTATCTCTGTGCTATAATTTATTATTTATTTAATCCATAAAACCAAAGTTTAAAGCCATCTAATCCAAGGACTCTCCATTTCTCTAATGCAAACATCTCTCTTACATTTGAATGTTTACCTTGGCAGTGGACCGCCTTCCAGCCAGAAACATAAAGGTCTACAACCCCACAACCAACAGCTTGAACGTTCGTTGGGAGGCAGCCACAGGCCCGGTTCAGCAGTACCGAGTGGTCTACGCTCCTCTGACTGGCATCAGACCCTCTGAGTCGGTGAGTCCCCGTTCCGAGAAGAAGCAAATGCATCAAATCTAGATGCACAACATCTGCAGCACACTCTGTGTTGTGCTTTACTGTTAAACTGCTCATCAAATGAAGTAGTGCGTTTTTATGCATGCATGTTTGCAATTTCCACCATTAATGAACCACACGTTCATTTAAGGAGAAGTTCTTGAGAACATGTGCAAAACGTGCACGGCATTTTCATTTGTGTAGAATCCATAAAAATCTCAGCTTCATCATCAAAATGAGCTCCTAACAGAAAGATTTCACCATTCTGATCTTTTTTTTTGAATATATACTCCAGTGGAATATTACAGAAGCAAAAGTTGCCGTTCTGTTTATATTATTAGACCTTTTCCATGCCCAGAGCCAGTGGTTTGCGTCAGTGACCTCTTTCAGCCAAAATTTCACACCATCTGGAGATTTATAGCCTGAATTATCAGCTTCACTGGTGTCAGCCAGCACACAGATTTTATACTGATGCTCCCAGACACTTCAGAGGCTTTTTCTTCAGAAAACACCTGAGCACAGTTCCAGAAAAGAAACAAACGGATCTGCGAGCAACATGAAAACACAACAAGCTGATTTAGACTCCATATTCTGTTTGTAAAGACCCTGTTGTACTATCGTTTCCCTTTTACATCAAAAACTCCTCAATAAAGGACTGTGACCCCCTCAAAGAGGTCATCAGCAGGCTAGAGGAGGCCTGACCTTATTCTGTCCCGCTAATTACCCCAAACACAGATTGCTGAGCCTTTGTGTTGTCCTCTGAAACGGTCAGGCTGTGTTAATTATCACACAGACTCCCCTTTTGTAACACCACACCCTTCAACATCAAAGGAGCTTTTCCCTTTCATGCAGCGAGAAGCTGTTTTCGTTTAAACACAGCGTAAGCTCTAGTTTTGCACGTTTTCCATTTAGGAACTCCAAAAGAATGTTTGAAAGCCGACGTGTTTGTCTCTGCTCAGGTCCTGGTACCAGGCAGCACCACCACAGCTCTTCTGAGTCAGCTTCTGCCAGACACTGATTACAACGTTGGAGTTGTGGCATTGTACAGCGATGGAGAAGGACCCACTGCTAGTGACGCTGGAAAGACACGTAAGTTACTAGAGATCACGTTGGACCAACTCGAGCTGTGAGTTACAGAAACGTTTCCCCGTTTTTAATCACAGTGCCACGTGGCGGCCCACGGAACATGCGTGTGTATGACCCGACCACCACCACCCTCTCTGTCAGCTGGGAGCATGCAGAAGGTCCCGTCACGCAGTATCGCATCTCCTACGAGCCAACCACCGGAGACCCCATCGAGGAATTTGTGAGCGCGTTTAAGACAATAAAATTTGATCCTTTAGAGTTAAAAAAAAATCCAAAGAGCGCTTTTTAAAAACAGAATTTTCCCCTTTGTCTTGCAGACAACCGTTCCAGGGAACAGAAACAACGTGATCCTGCAGAACCTGGATCCAGACACACCGTATAACATAAAAGTGACAGCCATCTATGCAGATGGACCTGGAGGGCAGTTGGACGGGAATGGACGCACAGGTACAAACGCTTCGATCAAGCCTGATTATTAACTATTAACGACCACGGCACACACACATCCAGTCAAACAAAAATTGGAATATTTCAGTGATAATTCTAAGAAAACTGAAACTTTGACCCTAATAAGCTGCTGGACTTCCACTTTATGACCCAGATTAGTGAGAAAGTTTAGTGACATGAAGTTCTTGACCTTTCAAGGATGCAACAGTACCATCAGCCTTCACCACAGATTTATTAGCTGCCTCTCCTTCAATGAAGGAAATTGAATACTTAGATTGTTGGTCAGAGTCTTGCTCAACTTTTCATTCCAGACCAAATAATTGCATATGATGAAGCCCCACCCTATTTGAAGCCACTTGTTCTGTTCTTTAACCCAGCTGATTTCCCTTCATTTATTGCTTTCTGCAATATTTTAGGCACCATGAAGAGTTTATGAACTCATTAATTACGTTGCTAATAGATCATCCCTGTTTCTGTTTCCTGCAGTGGGAATGCTCGGACCCAGAAACCTCCGTGTTTCTGATGAATGGTACACCCGCTTCAAGGTAGCCTGGGACCCCGCCCCCTCCAGGGTTAATGGATACAAGCTTTTCTACCGACCCGTGGGTACGGAGGAGCTTTTATTCCCTCTGGAGAAAATGTGCAGACAGTTCTGTTTGAGTTCCACTCGTCTGTTGCTACACTGGTTGGAGGCATTCTTTCTTTATTTCCCTGTATTTGTTTTCAGGCACCAACACATTTTCTGAGATGTTTGTTGGAGATGTGACCTCACACCAACTGCAGAACCTGAATCCTGGAACCACTTATGACCTACAGGTGGTGGCTCAGTACAACACGGGCTCTAGTCAACCTCTGACTGGCCAAGGAACGACACGTGAGTGGATAATCCTGCTTTGTGACGGGTTGAATGTAAAATGGACTAACACATTTGTGGGATTTCCTTTCAGTGTACTTAAACGTGACGGGCTTGTCCACCTACAATGTCGGCTACGACTCTTTCTGCATCCGATGGGCTCCCCACCGAGCCGCCACCTCCTATAGACTCACCGTCAGTCCTGTTGACCGTAAGAGCTTTAATCGTTTTCGTTTCTGTCTCTTTAATCTGTTCGGTCCTGATGTCGTGATTTAGTTCTTTACCTCACTTCTAGGGTCAAAGCGTGGATCTCAAGAAGTCACAGTGCAAGGCTCCCAGAGCACCAACTGTTTCGATGGCTTGAGCCCCGACACTCTTTACAACGCCACGGTTTACACCCAAACCCAAAACCTGGAGGGCCCTGGAGTCAGCGTCACAGAGAAAACATGTACGAAAATGACAAAAATCTTGGCAGAAGCTGCTAAAATCTCAACTTTCTAAAGTGAATCATTGATTTTCAGCTAAAAAAATAAATTTGCATGTGATTCTGTTTCGCACCAGTGGTCAAACCCACTCCTGTGCCGACTCAGCCTCCCCCAACTCCTCCAGCTTCAGTCCCACCTGCTCGAGATGGTGAGGAGAAATTTAAAACCAAAGTTTATTTTTAATGAAAACATTTTTTTCTATAATTCTAAATAAATGATTAACAACATTATTTTCACCACAGTGTGCAAAGGAGCAAAGGCCGACGTGGTCTTCCTCATCGATGGCTCCTGGAGTATCGGAGATGACAGCTTCAACAAAGTCATCCAGTTTGTTACAAGCATGACTTCAGCTTTTGATGTTATCAGCCCGAGTGGCGTGCAGGTGAGTGCACGTCACTTATTTCTTTTCCCCAACCACAAAAACGTGAAAATCCTGCGCTCGAGTGTTCATTAGCAAAATATCACCACCGGATGGATTTTAATGAAAGTAGCTCTTGGATCTTCGTCTGCAACTGATGAACTTTTATAGCTAACCAGATTCAAGATGGCCGCTGCAACCGATCAACACTAGTCAGCATAAAAATGGCTATAACTCAGTCAGTTTTGCTAGTATTGAGGTAATATTTGGTGTACCAAACCATTGTTACACGCAATGATCTTAGATTTGGTGTGCAAGATGTCAGCAGGCAGACATCATTCCTTTAACCCTCCCACTGTCCTAATGGGTGTGACCCCACGAGGAAAGTTGACCACTGAGCAGGGTTGATGGTTTATCCCTTGGGTTCATGTGGCAGGGGTGAGGAGTGAGCACCACCTCACTCCTGCCGCGTGGACATCTAGGGATAAACCATCAATCCTGCTCCATGGTCAACTTTCTTCGCGGGGGTCACACCCATTAGGACAGTGGGAGGGTTAAAGAACGCTTCATCTTGTTTTAGAGTTTTTATTCCATACTTGTTACTGTTGGTCACGGTCTTCTTCTTTGTCCTCTCACATTTTCTGAATAGGCTGCATTTGTGCAGTACAGCGATGACGCCAAGACCGAGTTTAAACTGAACACCTACCACGACAAGGGTGTTGTGCTATCAGCTGTGAAGTCAATTCGCTACAGAGGAGGCAACACTAAGACGGGTACCCCGCTTAAATAAAGGAATCTTTCAGAGAAAAACGGATAATTCCTAAAACTTTCTGTACTTGTTTCCCCCTCGTTCCAATCCAGGCATTGCTCTGAAGCACGTCTACGAGAAGGTGTTCACATCAGACAGCGGCATGAGGAGAAATGTCCCCAAAGTGCTGGTTGTGGTCACGGATGGGCGGTCCCAAGACGAGGTCAAGAAGAGTGCAGAGAAACTGCAGCACTCTGGTATGCATGAAGGAACTTCTCATCATTTTTGTTTGTTTGTTTTACTTCCTTTCCAGCGATAAATACAAAGCTTGTGGCTGATTATTTATTAAACTCCTGCAATGCTCCGAGAAGTGATGACAGATCCTGTGGTTTTTATTAGGTTTTTAACAATGGCCCTTGTTAATTGTGTGTGTGTGTGTGTTTGGCCCGCAGGCTATAGTGTGTTTGTGGTTGGAGTGGCTGACATCGACAGGAGAGAGCTGACAGCCATCGGCAGCAAGCCCAGCGAGAGGCACGTGTTTGTCGTCGACGATTATGATGCTTTTGACAAAATCCAGGACAACCTGATCACTTTCATCTGTGAAACGGCAACGTCCAGTAAGGCAGTTTTATTGGTGTTCCTGCACAGGAAGCTCACTTCTGCTGATTCACCATAAACAAACCTTCAACATTACTTCATATCCAATCAGATTCCTCAGCTCCTGATGTTTTTGTCCCCTTACAGCGTGTCCTTTAATCTACATGAATGGATTCACCACTCCTGGTAAGTAACCATTTCCCGTGAAGGTTCTTAAGTTTCAGTGGTGCCACTTTTTCACTGTGTTTCTGCTTCCGTTCAGGTTTCAGAATGCTAGAAGCTTTCAACATTACAGACCAGACGTTTGCTGGCATGAACGGCGTTTCCATGGAGCCTGGTTCCTTCAACAGCTTCGTCACCTACAGGCTGCATAAAGATGCCTTCCTGAACCAGCCCACCAAGTAAGATTTGAGGCAAACAAAGAAGAAGTGGGACTCTCACGTTGCACCTGTTTTCTCACGCATCATCTCTTGAGAGGGATTTCCCAAATCCATTTTTTTGTTAGTTGGTAGAGCTTGTGGAATTTTGCAAGAGACAAAGGTGGTTTAATGTCCTAAAAGACACCTTGCTTGTTTATCGTTTATACTCAAGGCAGAAAACCACATGTGGATCAAGGAGTTTACCTCACTTAAAAGAAACTTGGAGTAATCTGCTTTGGGATGGTGTATTCATGTTTAAAATGGTGCTAATTTAGTATGCATGGGTATTTTCATTTATCTAATGCACGCAAAGTGCAAACCAGAGATAGCAAATACTGTCCGTGTGTGTGTGTGTGTGTGTGTGTGTGTGTGTGTGTGTGTGTGTGTGTGTGTGTGTGTGAGTGTGTGCAAAGTGAAAATCATTAGCAGGTTTTACAGCTTGTGTGACAAACTCTTTGCAGCTTGATTATTCCAACACTGGAATGTAATATTCCGGTTCCCGTAGCTTGGTCCTTACTGGATGTTTTCTATGCTCACAGGGAGATCCATCCAGACGGTCTTCCTCCGTCTTACACCCTCATCCTGCTCTTCCGTCTCCTGCCCGACACGCCGTCCGAACCGTTTGATATCTGGCAGATTGCTGACAAAAACAACAACCCTGAGGTCGGAGTCACTGTGAATCGTAAGTTTCTAACATTAAAGCAACATGGCATCTTAATCCACTTTGGATATTTGTCAGTTTTTTAATTCAAAACGATGAATGAAGTCATTTAGGCTTTTTATCCTGGCATAGAAACCCCTTGAGGGTGTGGTCTATAGCATGATGTCATTAATGGCTACAGCTAAGGCTGAATGCTACGCTAATCACTGAGCTCCAATACACACGAGATAAATCCATCCATCTTCTTCCACAGTTAGCTTGACGTTTACAGACTGACTAATTACCATAAATCCTCTAATATTGGCCTGTATTCAATTAACGGCCGGGTATCACATTTTGGCCGGTATTGGAGTCGGCGGAGGTGAATAACGGCCGGCTTTTTACTGTGGCCGGGTGGAATGTGGTAACAAGCAAGTACCACGGGGGTGTGTGTGTGTGTGTGTGGGGGGGGGGGGGGGGGGGGGTTGTGTCATTCGTCTCACTTTTGATTTGCCAGTGATAGACCGCGAGGGTAACTTTAACCATGGCAGGTGCGGAGACAAAGAGGAGGCGAAAATTTCATATCAAGTTCAAAGAGAACGTGCTGATTATGCTGCAGAACACTCTGGCGAGCAGTAGGGGTTATATGAACTAGTCACTAGTCGACTTCACCGCTCTATAGTGACTTTTTATGCCTGTCATCGACTAGTCGCTGTCACGTGATAATGACCGGCAAGATGCAGTCCACGGAAAAGACAGCAGCCTGCTGTCAGCAGGTGACGAGCTCCTGCGCGTCGGGAGGCAATGCGCTGTGCCAGAGCGTCGGTACTGACACCCGCCGTAAAATGGACATTTAACCAAATTGTGACCTTTACCCTCTTGCAATTTAACCTTTCCCTCACCCCCATCCTAATCGTAACCAGCTTGTGCATGCAAAGCTCTGATTGTTGACGCGCTCCAGACATCTGCGTCCTGAGCACGGCCACAGTAACATTATCAAATTAGGTGTTGCCACCTCAAAAACTAATTTAACACGCGATCGTTCATGTCGGCTCATTTCCTTTTATGTTTTCTGTCTTTTATTCTTTTATTTGTGCCTGATGCTTTTCGCTGCTGTGGAGCGGGGCGCATCACCTGTTTTGTCCTCGGTGACGCACCTCACTGATGCGGCCAGCGAGCACTCCGCTGTTTCTGCGGTCGGTAGATCTTTTAGAACTGCAGTTCAAAGGTAACTCATAAGGTGAATATATATGAACCCAGGTAGCAGTTTTTCTTTAGGATTTAGAGGAGATGCAGGAAGATAATAAACAGAGACAGGACAGAAAAGTAGTCAAATAAAATCAAGTTAGTTTTTGTACCTGGTGGTTGCAACAAACAGACACCATTGAAGGTAATCAGAAGTGAGGAACAGAAAATGAAATAATTATTTTAATGTTTAGAGCAGCAGGAACTCCGAGAGGCTGCAGGCGCATCAGTGAGTTTGCGGCCGCTGCGCAGGGGGAGGGGGGAGAGGGCTGAAGCAGAAACTACCGTTGTTAAAAGAAATGTGTTTAACTTTGAAAATGTGGGCGCAATTTTAATTGTCAAAAACTCCAGCGAACCATTAGTTCATTTTGCTCAAATAGAAATTGAGGCCTGCCTCTACTTCTGCCCCTCCTTCCAATAAAGGCCTGGAGCTTGATGAGCTTGAGTCAAATACAGGCCCGGGCCTGTATTAGAGGATTTACAGTAAATGCAGCTCAAGTTAGCCTTCAAGCTAGCGCCATACTAGCCTATAAATGCAGCATTAAACAATTATCAGCACTATCATTTCGCTTATTTTAATAAAAGAGTTAAAATATTCTAAAATTTTAATTATTTGGTATTCACCTGACCAAAAGAAAAAATGGCCACTTCTTCTTTCACCGCTTCAGTTTTCATTGATGTTATTTGGCTTCCCGTACCTGCTACAAGAGAAAAGAATACGCAGCAGCCTCCAGAACCATGTGCTCTCCATAGATCTGAACGTTGCGTGCATCATCAGACACCGTCAGGGATTAATCAAAGGCCCCTCTGTTTTCAGCTTCCAGTCAAACGGTGACGTTCTACAACAAGGACACTCGAGGAGAGATTCAGAAAGCTGTCTTTAATGAAGCTCAAGTGAAGCGAGTTTTCCATGGGAGCTTCCACAAGGTAAACATAATGCACGATTCCCAAAGAAACCATTGTCTATGTACATTTGAAAGTTTTTTTTAATTAAAAATTCACTTTTCGTGAACAATTCGGGGACTTTACATTCTGCTTATCTTCTCCCTTTCACATATATTTCTTTTCTGTGTCTCTTCCGCCTCTTTTATCCTGACTGAAGGACTTTTTAATGTGAAATCCTGATGAACAGCTCGTTCTTTGGAGCCGTATCGTGTTACATTCTGCTTTTAATCTTCATGTCAGTTTGCTGTCAAAGAGTGTGCCCATTTTTCATGATTTGACATTTAGGTTTAGTTTTTTTTAGCTGAAGCACTTATTTTAAGTAATGAGCTTTAAATGCTGTAAATAAGTGAAAAGAGGAGTGAGAGGGAAGGTCTGATGCATCAGTGGAGGAGCTCTTTGGTTAAACAGGAGATGGTAGATGCCCAGTTAAACCACTTTCTGAGAAAAACTTCCTAAAGATTTGGCTCCATTTTCTTCTCGAAGCAAACAAAAAGGGGTTGTGATGGTGTTTAAGGGTCACTCGAGGAAAGAATAGAGATTTTAGAGCAAAAATGAATGATGTAAATATTTACATTTCCCAGAATGCCTTGTGTAACTGAACTATACTGACTTATTTGGGTGTCAGGCTGAGCTTTAATAGTATATACATATGAATGAAGTACATTTGAGACTCTTATTGTGAAGGTTGGCAGGAAGTTCTTTGTGTTCTGCTTTGGAAATTTTGTATTTTACACAGTAAAACACACCACCAATCATTAAAGTAAAAATGTAAAAAAAAGAGAAGCAAATTCGGTCATTTTCTGTTCTTGAGCATGCTCCTGATTTAAACTTTTTAAAATTTGGTCACTTACTCTTTATCTATTTTTCCACTTGACCCTGTGATATTGTTGTAGCATAACTTTAAAGGTGTGGAACACTGAAAAACCATTTTTAAATGATTACTTCTGATTACAATCAGTCACTCTGAGTTTTTCATGCAGGCTGAAATAGTCTCCTATATACATCTCCTGCATTAGCTTCTGATAGAAAACAGACGGTGAAACTCTAGGATTAGAAAATCCTGACAGTTCTACGTCACACTGTCACCAACATTCATGGACTCCTCCATCTTGACTCATGACGGAGGATGCTGTGGCTGGTTTAGCGTCCAGGAAACGGCATTAAACATCTCAGCTAGCAGAAGCTAACCATTAGCATTAAAGTTAAAGTCCATGGCTGATGCAGGCGCTTCTGGGCCTTTTTTTCCCTCCCCGACTACGACTTGCAAGGCATTTATTCCTTCCAGAGACCACTGCAATTGTTTGATTAAACGGGTGTTCAACACTTTTAAAAGCTCCTGCCAATGAAATTTTGCAAAAAAGCAATAATTACAACTAATAAGTAGATTTAAGGTGTTTTTCCATGAAAGTGCATCTTCCTTGCAGGTAACTAAGCTAATGCTGTCAGTTAGCATTTATTATAAACCAGGATTTTGCCTCCAACTCAAAACATCCGCTCTCCGGTGGTTCTATTGTGTTTAAAGAGACTTTCGTTCCTCTTCGTCAGCTAAACCACAATATTAGAGCCGTATGCCCAGCTCATTGCAGTTCCTGGCAAATGTAAACAGACACATCAAATGTCTCCGTGCACAATGCGAAGCAGCAGGGAGCCTCAACCATCTCGTTGTGCTTTAAGCACAGTGGGATCTGGAAACTCTAACAATAGAGTATATTTTCACTCAAACTTGGAATGTTTTCAGTTAAATTTCATTATTTACCTCAAGTCCAACCGCGTTTAAAGTTTGGCTCGAAGAACAACATCTCCTCAGTTAATCAAAGGTGATCAAAAAGAATGATTTTTTTTTGACCAGTGACTTCAAAGTTCACCCACTTCCTGACATTAGAGAGAAAAGAGGGGCGAGTTGGCTCGGAGATCAGAGGCTTCCCAGTTTGACCATTTAACATCTACGCGGCTAATTGCGGACTAACCTCATGAGTGGATGGGACTTTGCAAACAGTTGGCTCGGTTTTTGATGTAATGACATCATTTTTTCTTTTCTTGTAGTTTTTCTTGCTGGTCTAGTAGGAAGGGGGCTCGATCTTTGTGTGTTTTCTGTTCTCTCAGCCTGCGGCCGTAGAGGAGACTGTAGTCTGAATGCGGACTATAGCTGGTTTGTGGTGCCATAGCCGAGCTGGCGAGTCCTCAGCGGTCTACCTAGCTGCTTATTTGTTGGTCTGTTCATTGAGTGCTGCTGCTGCCTGTGGTGATGGTGTGAGTTTACATGTTGTCAGTGGTTTTCTGAAACTTTGTGGCTCTTGCAGAGTGGCCTCAGTAAGCGTGGGCTTTTTGTGTCTGAGCTGAGATCTCTTGATCGGAACCAGCCTTCTGAAAGTGGTCTTAAATTTAGCACTTTGAGGCCCTCTTTAAGTTTTCCAGGTATTTGTCTGTTTAATAACTTTTACCCAAACATGAGTGTGAGCTAGAATGACGGCGTAGGGTCAGAGAGTGCATCTAGATAAGACAGGCTAGCTAATAAACAGTGACCCAGGCTTGTGGTTTACCGCCACTCATGACATGATGGAAAGCCCTCAGAGGTGTCTGCAGCAGATGCAGACCCAGTAGGGAATCCCCTCCCACATACAAACCGTACGAGTTCCTGTAACCCAAAGCCAAAAGGAAATTTGACTAATTTGGTGTCCAGGGGTTCTTTGGTAACAAGTAATACTTTCTGCATTCCATCGTTTAATATTCATGATTATTTTTACAGCAGTGGAGTCAAAAGAAACCAGACAAAAGATTGATTTGAAGCATCTGAGCTTCAGCATAAATCAGCTCTCTGTCTGACCACAAGTCAGCATTTTCGGCTGTTTTCACCCAAAACAAAACTGCCTTTTTTAAAGGTTCGTGCTATTTTTTGTAGGGGCAAAGTAGCGCACGACAAAAGCCATTTTGCATTAGTAACTGGGAAAATGAACAGATTTTTTTGGCACTTGGTTAACATTTTATATTAACAGAAAATCTGATTATGTGAACATAAACGGCTTAAAATAACAGTGTGCGTTCTAGTTTTTCCCTTCCTGGAAGCATCAGCATAAAAGTGGCATATCTGATTAACTGAATTCCATTTCAGTTAACAGATTATTAAAAGTCCAGCAATGGAAAGTGCAGAATTCCTTGGAGAGGCTCGCTTTCCATTCTGTGTTGGTGTGATAGTTTCGTTTCCAAATGATTCATCTACTTTACTCCTACTATTCAGTTTGGACCACTTCTACTGACGTTTTGATGCAAAGGCGTTATCTTTCTTTAATTTACCAAGATAATCTTACTAGGAAAAAAATACTCATAAAAACTGAATGATAAGTTTAATAAAATAAATAGTTGCTGGTCACACCCACCCATCTCCTAATTGGGACGCAGAGTAGAGCTGCTGCTCCTTCAGCTTGGAGAAGTGAGAAGGAGTTCCCCATTTGTGATGTCACAAACGGGGACTGTTTGAAACAGCCCGTTTGAGGCATGATTCCTAAAACCAAACACTGTCAGAAAACTTTGGAGTGTTTATGGAGTCATTAGACACTCACATGGCAGCACTAAAAGATGCACAAAGTGAGTTTAGCATAATACGTACTCTTAAAAGCATGAAAGCAGGCTGGAACCCTCTGTGGTAATACAACAACCATCGCCTCTGAGTGCTAGTTGGTATTTTCCACTGACTTGAGTGTTTTTATTGGGTTTACTCACTGGTCAGTGAGGTAATACATACATGCTCATAATTTAGCATCCCAATGGATCATCCAAAGTTGTTTCGGTAAGCCCGCAAGAGCATCATCATATGTGACATGCATGCCAGGACCCTGGGATAAATGGCACCATTTTCTCTATGTGGTCCACCAGATAGTTTGTTGTGCTGCCAAGGAAGTAGGCTGTAATTTTGTGAATAGTTGCCAGGAACTATGGCCTAGTCTGTGGCTGGTATAGCTTTGTAGAAAGAAATGGTAGCGTGCTTTCTTCCGACATAAAGAAATGCTTGTTTGACAGAGAGGAAATTTAGCAACTGCAAAGGGAAAGTGTGGAAAGTGTAGGACCTTTGATGGCAAGCCACAAAATATATTGTTTCAAGATGTGGAACGGGGGTCTAATGCACAGGAAACCCAAGAATCTGGCCTTTTTTGTTCTTGGTCATTATGTAACAGCCGGCTACTTGGGAAAGCCAACCGTTGCACATTTCTTTTTTATGGTTCAAGCATCTGTAGAGGCATAAAAAATCTCTCGCCAAATCAGTAATCATATGAGATTAATGTCAGAGTCTGTGCTTAACAAGGTTTTGCAGAGGCTTAGCACTTCTAATAATTGCTTGAAGCCTTTTGGAATCACTTTTATGATCAGTTTTGGTCCATTTTCAAGTGCAAACATGTATTTTCTAAATGCAAATTAATGCCGAGGACAGCTTTTGAATTTTCCAAATGTATGTGATCCCGTTTGTCAAACTATTGTCTGGCAATGACTTTGGCCAATTTTTGCAAATACAGCAATGTTTTGTTAAAAATGCCCTCTCTCCTTCTTCTCCCTCCCCCAGCTCCACATTTCTGTTTCTCCTGAGAAGGTCAAGCTCCATGTGGACTGTCAGGAAGTGGCAGAGAAGCCCATCAAAGAGGCCAACAACATCACAGTGGAGGGCCTGGAAGTGCTTGGCAAGATGGTCAAGTCAGGAGGTGGAAAGAAGCAGTCTGCAACAGTAAGCACAAACTTGTAAAGGCAAAAAATGGCTGGAAAAAATACATCTGGAAGAAAATTCCTCAATCTTCAAAAGATAAAAAAAATCTAAAACCTTCTTGGCAAACTATTCCTGGTGATGGCTGCAGGGAGAATGAAAGTGTGCAATCTTGGATTTCTTCAAGGGCACCATTGTTTGGTTTTTCTTGACAGTGCATTTTCACTGTAAATAGGAGCCATTTGTAACACCCTTCCATGTTTATTCCCATCTTCTCTCGTGCAGTTCCAGCTCCAGATGTTCGATATTGTCTGCAGCTTGAGCTGGATCAGTCGGGACAAATGCTGTGAGCTCCCATCCACAGTAAGCGTCTTCCCCAAGCTCTTTAGTTTCACATTTCCTTTCTGGAGTTTATTTCCTGTGGTGTACCTAAATGAAAACCAGGGTTGAAAACAACCTTTTCTAGAGAAAGTGTCTCATCTGAACAGAAATAAACATTGTTTCATCCGTAATCCTACTATCTTAATGATGGATCCCAATTGCATGCCAACAACTCTTCAATTTTGGATCCCAAACCAGAGTAAATAACATTTATTTGTGCTGAATAAAGGATGATTGCACGCTTAAGCCAATTAAAAGCAATTCATCTGTAATTTGCAGCCGATATTAATGCATCACATGCATGATTGCAGTGTTGCGTAACTCGTTATGTTAATGATTCCCATACAGACAAGTGGACGAGGTCTGCAGCTGAAGGCTGCGCACGTACTTTGTGATAATCAGTGACTGAGCAGTTTTCATTGTGATTGCTTCTAAACTGTAATATCAGCAAAGTGAAACTCACAGATTTCCAGGATAAAGTCACAAAATCTTTGACTGTTGGAGCACAAACCCTCAGTCATCACAGATAATTAATGTGTGTGTTTAGTTCAACTCATGAGCTTATTTGTCTTTTTCAGAGAGTCGAAGCCAAGTGTCCAGCTCTTCCCCACTCTTGTACTTGCACACAGGACAGCATTGGCCCTCAGGGACCTCCCGGACCAACGGTAAAGATAAACCGTCACTGCTTTTTGTCTGTCTTCACCTGATAAAGTTATTGTCCCAGAGGCCTTGATGAAGAAGATGATGATGATGATGATAAAGCCATGCAGTGCGATTCTAGAGTTACAGTGGACACAAAGCTTCATGTTTGAACTTAAAGAGTCTAAGTATGACTTATTTATTCATTTATTTTAAAGTTCCCATGTGGAACGAAGCGCTAAGGATTAACTTGACATCCCGTGAAGAGATGTCGGCTCAAGGATTGCTGTATAGTCACTGACACTAGTCAGTGACTTGATGCAATTTGCTGAGTTCCTTATATAGGAAACATTATTTCTGATTGGCTTAATGAACTGACCTGAATTGGAATGTTTATTATGCGAAGTGCCTTGAGACGACTCTTGTCGTGATTTGGCGCTTTATAAATAAACTTGAATTGAATTGAATTGAAGGAAAAGCAGCAAACACCCAAAACCATTAAAATTATCCTGGATTATTTAATAAACTAGAATTGACCCATGGAGGATTCCTTGGTTCTTGGACTTTTAGGGTTTTTGAAACCTGCTTCTGTGATGTTCACTCAGGGTTTCTGGCTCTTTCCTTTTCCAGGGAAGCCCAGGTACTAAAGGACCACGAGGAGATACGGGATCACCTGGCAACCCCGTGAGTCAGACCTAACGTCTTCAGCATGCTGTAAATGATTTTAGAGGGATTCCTGAAAGGACTGGCTTTCATAAGTCTACATTATCTGTACTGTTTAACAGGAAGATAATAAGAGTTAAACTGTTGCTGCTATGTTAGCAAATTGGACACATCTGCAGACATTTAACAGCCTTAAACTCTCCCGTAAAGGAGGCTCAGTCCAAACACTTTAAAGGATCGATCCCAAAACACAGTTTACCATCAAAAGAAAAGTTCTGATTAGGTTTGGTTGCACTTTTCTCTTAAAACGTGGTTTTGTTTTAACACCTTGGTGATGGTTTGTTTATTGCTGCAGGGCGGAATGGGTCCACGTGGTGAGCCAGGACTCCCAGGTCCGTTAGGACCACCGGGTCCACAAGGCCCTAACGGACTGTCTCTGCCGGGCCCACCTGTAAGTTCCAGACCTGCTGACATCATGAAAGTGATTTATTTAGCTGATATGATAGTTTGTGAGAATGCCCACCAGTGAGTGGCATTTAAAATTGACCTCGAACACTCCCCTCCCTCTCTCAGCCAACTGGCAAGAATCTCTTTTTTCTCGTGAAACTACACCATCAGTCACGATCACCGAGTAAAATGGTAAAAGCCTAACTTCTTTGCTCCTTCCTCCTCAGGGTAGCTCAGGACCAAAGGGAGATCGTGGAGACCCAGGCATTACTGGTCTGCAAGTAAGCACTCTTTTCTCATTTGTGGTTTATGAACAGGAAATGGGAAACAATCCCCTCAGAGCAGCGTTACTACGGGAGCTTGAATTCAGTCCAACAACCAGATTGAAAGCACACTGAAGAGTGGGAGGTTTACCGTCAGCAGGGACCCAGACTCTTAAATCCTCCTGCTGATTGACAAACAGCAGCGATGCAGTTAAATTATTGTGAAGCGTAGACTCGCGTTACTAATGGAAATGGAACTCGTCCTCCAGCCTGACGAAGACTGACTTACAAAAGCAAACAGAGGATGGAAACCATATTTGCCTCTATGACAGTTGTGGTTAAAATCTGTGAAGTTTAAACTGTTAGGGCAACTCTGCAAACGCAATCACGGAACACACACCCCTCCCTCCCGTCAGGTGTCTTCCCTGAGTCGCGTCTGCCAGAAACCCGCAATGCCGGAGGAATCCAGATAGCGCTAAGCACCAGCCGCTCTTTTCTAAGTCCTAACGTGTTTCGTTGGCCGTGACTTCAAATGGTGTTGAAGTGGTAGCAGCCGGCTGTTTCTCCTCCTCTGACATTACTGAGCGGAGAACCTCTCACACCGGTGGTGTTCTGTTGCTAAATGCGTGAGTGTATGACGAGTGGAGGACCCAGGGAAGTCCGCTGGTCCAATAGTCGCTTTGAGTCCAAAACGTCTGATTGGAAGAGGTTTTTAGACAAATGTGAAAGAAATACTTGATCAACGTTTTTCGCTTTTTTAAAAATCTCCACGATATATTGGTAGCTTTACTATGTTAGAACGTTGTTAAGAGGCATGAAATTTAAGCTAATTTCTTTTCCAAATTTGCCATTGCAGCTTTAAAGGGTGGGAAGTTATTTTGGAAAGCACATTTTTATGTGGGCTGGTATCGTTAACTCCCACCATTCATCTGGGGAGGATGTCATCACCGATTGGTCATTCTGGCCCTGAAATGGTGAAAATTGGAAGAGGATCATTGTTGGGGATTTTATCTGTTTCATTACAACAACAACAACAAAGTTGAGGCTCTCTTCCCTAAAACATACGAGACACAAGAGAACTTTTAAGGTTTTTACAAGAACAATAATGTATTTTCTTTGGCTAAATAAGGAAGGGAACTTCCAGTCAGCAGAGGCTTTTGGGAGCTACATAAAAGTTCGTTTTTTGACGATTACCATTTGATTAAGTAAGTGTTCTTTTTTTCCCAGGGTTCTCCCGGCCCACGTGGCCCTCTGGGCCCTGTTGGACCAAGCGGAGCACGGGTAAGAGCCATGCATAGAGAAGATACCATGTTCAGCGTCTAAAATATGGATCCACCTCATGTCTTATTTCCATTTGAACTTTATGCTGCTTGTCGCCTTCATCCAAAAGGCTGCAGCTACTCCATTTAAAAGGACACATTTTAGGCAAAAACAAACAAAAGTAATGACAATGATGTATTACACCAGCAGAGTCCCCCTGGGAGCTGTAACTCATGTATGACTGCGTGTTGTTTCTACTTAGGGGCCACCAGGAAAGGAGGGACAAGCTGGACCCAGAGGCCCACCAGGGCCAATGGTGAGTGTCTTTTAGTGCCAAATAAATACTTCTCATAAAGAAATGGAAGGAAAAAAAAGTGTGCTTCTCCTGATACAGTATATCTGCAACAATTACTCCTCTGGCTCCAGATTTCCACTCTGCTGGAACAGCACATAAAACCCAGACTGGGTCCCCCCACAGTCGCGAGAATGATGCATGCACCCCTCATTTTCCTTTTTCTGTGGTTTGCGGAGGTCTGACTCTATTTAAGCCAGCCATCATGTTAACAGGCGGCATGCCAGTATGGAGTGGTCTATAGCATCCTGAGTGCTACAGGAGCCATTAGCGTGATGGTTTGTGTTGGAGTGTACATGCATCCTGCTTGTACTGCTGTTGTGCACGTGTGTGTTTCCATCTCCGCTCCACTGTTCTTGGCAGCGTTTGCCCCCCCCCAACACACACACACACACACACATTGCAGATGTCAACAAACTTTGACACTTGTTTTACAACCATTAACATGGAACGGTAGTTAAAAATTGCTGTAACTTTTTTTTTAGCTAAATTAAAAAAGTCTTAAATGTTTATTTTGTATTTTCTAGGGAAGCCCTGGAAATCCTGGTGTACCCGGAATCACTGGAAAACCAGGAAAACCAGGAGAACCAGGAAACCCAGTATGGAATACATTATAGGACAGAAATCTATGTTGATGAAAAGTTGAAGCTAGTTCTAACTTTAAATGTTTTCCTTCTAAAAAGGGACCCGTTGGCCTTAAAGGAGAAAAAGGAGAGAGGGTATGCGTTCATGAAGCGTTCACAATATCATGGATGAGCAAAGAATTCATCGCCTCATGAAACTGTCTTTGATTTCCAGGGAGACTTTGCATCCCAGAACATGATGCGCTCCATTGCCAGACAAGTTTGTGAACAGCTTGTGAACAGTGAGCAAAACATCTCTGGAGCCTCTGGGAATTTTAATGCCCTTGAAATTCACGGCTTAGTGAGATCCGTCTGATTTTGTTTTATGTTTACAGGCCAGATGAGCAGAATCGACGTTATGCTCAACCAGATTCCTTCCGGATATCGCAGCAACACTCCAGGGCCACCCGGTCCTCCTGGGCCCCCTGGCAGCCAGGGAGCACGAGGAGAGCCAGGGCAAACCGGAAGATCCGGGTTCCCTGGAAACCCAGGATTACCCGGAAATCAAGGAGAAAGAGGTAAATGTTCTTGAACTTCTTCTCATTTTCGTTAGACGGTGTTACGCTAGCATGGATGTATAGAATAAGTAGGAACTGAAGCCATGTTGACACCTTTTAAGGTCTAGTTGTAATTCGGTCCACACGAACAGAAATTTTTAGCAAAACAAACTTTTCATTGGCTAATTTTGCCATGAATTTTTTGGGCCTTAGTGGAAAGTTGAATTATTACGAGAAAATGTTGATAGATCCCTATCTTTGTTATGGATCTGCCAGTGCAATGGGCAGGAATGTCCACATTCTCTCCTGCATGGAGATCTTTTATTTTTCAAACAGGATGGAAACGATCACTTAGACCAAGTATCCAGTTTTTATTCAATCGAAACCTTTTTTGTTCGATTTTCATTCATTTCCAAAATGTTAATTGTGAACTTTTTCAGGTTTGCCAGGAGAAAAGGGAGAGAGAGGATCTCCAGGAGATAGTGTCAGAGGAGTTAGAGGTCCACCAGGACCACCAGGTAACACGTTTATATTTATAACAGACTCATCTAATCAGATTCCAGTTTTATTAAATGTTGCAGCTGGAGCCAGGAACACTCAAAGTCTCTGTTAGATGTTATCCTTACTATAAAACACTGATTTGACACCGTTTCTGTGGACCTACTTGGAGTGCTCCCATTAGTCCATTTAAACATGACACATTCCAGCCTGGACTCTAATTCACCTGCATGTGGGTCTCAGTCATTTGGGCAGCTGGACTACATAAATTCTGTGGCACAACCTCCAAGGAAATTCACAAAGCTTTGCTTTCTAAAGGATTTATGGTACGCGTATACCCCACTTCTTCAGACAAACTTGAAACACGATCTGGTTGATGAAGCTATTTGAGAAGAATTGAGTCGAGACATCCATCATAACTCAGCTCCATGCTGCAGATCTTGAAGTAACTTGTAGAAAATGTCTTTAGGTTGATTTATTAAAGCAGCAAATCTACAAACCAAGCTAGCTTTTAAACACAAACACGGTCACAGAACGCTCCCCCCTTCCATCGTATATCATCCCTGGGCCACGCCCCCTTAGAGCGCCAAACACCAGTCACCGTTTTCTATGTCCAAATGTCTTTTGTTGTCCATGACGTCAAAGGGCTTTTTGGGACTCTTCCCAAAGTTGAAGTGGTAGCAGCCGGCTGTTTCTCCTCTGATGTTTTTGAGTGGAGAACCTCTCACACCAGTGGTGTCCTGTTTTAAATACGCGAGCAATGGAGGACCAAGTGTGGCGGTTTGAACGTAGAACGTTGTTAAGGGGTATGAAAAAAATGATTTGTAGCTTATTTGTTTTCCAAATTTGCTGTAGCAGCTTTGATGAGGAAGTTGGTTTCTGAACTGGATCGCTCTTTTGAGGAAGAACTGGTCAAAAACCAACAAGAACCAAATACGTCTGTCTTTGAACGAAGTGAGAAAATCAGTGAGAGAAAGTCCACTCTGATGACTCACTCTTGTGTGTGTGTGTGTGTGTGTGTGTGTGTGTGTGTGTGTGTGTGTGTGTGAGATTCAGATTGTTATACAATAAGCTTTCTCTAGCGGCTTCATTGACTACACATGGACTCACTTAAGGAAGAAGGGGGGAAAGAAAACGGGGGGAAAATTCCATCCCGAGTTAGTGCCGTCTAGACAGACGGGCCGGGGTAGCTCCACACAACCACAGACTGCATCTCGGGTCTTTTTTCTTCTTTCTTAGTCAAGTTCTTTAATTGAGCTGTTGAAAAATTGAAGTTGCTTCCTCGTGACCCCAACTGTTTCCACAGAAAATTTACGGGTGATGTCAGCTGTACTCCAGCTGGACTCTCCTAAACCGGCATCTCTCTCATTTGCAGGGCCACCTGGAGAGTCGAGATCTGGTCCCCCAGGTCCTTCTGGCTCCGCTGGGGTTCGTGGCCCTCCAGGACGTCAGGGTACTCCAGGTGTGAGGGGACCACCAGGACCCCCTGGATACTGCGACTCCTCTCAGTGTGTTGGTATTCCTTACAATGGACAAGGATACACAGGTACACATCTGCATGCTTTGACTTGAGGATTTAGACTAAGTGTATGCACACTAATTACATTTGCAACTCATTGCACTAGTTAATATGTAATGTATGGAGGTATTACTGTAGGTGTTCATTCTTTGGTGGTCGTATCTCCTTAAAAAAGTTCTAGTTTAAACCGACCTCAGTCAGTGTTGATTCGCCTGTTTGGAGGTTTAGTTCCGATAAAGCAAACATCTGCCCTGTAACAAACAACATGACCATCGAGCTGTGGCCATCTTTGTTTTTTTTAGTAAAATCCCACCAACCTTACCGATAGAGTGCTGCTTTTGCCCAACAAACCAACCAATAAGGAAGTACGCCATACATTGTGGAAGAAGCAGGGAAGAAGACGGAAATACATTGTTTTTCTAAATAAACGCGCTGTGATTGGCCAGCCACAATACTGCCCGGGGTTGGAGAGGTTCCAGTGGAGCATTGCTAGACTGATTTACAAAGCAACATGTTTTTGCTTCTGCAAATGATGACCTAGATTCTAGGCTAAGATAGATCTGCAGCTCGATCCACACGTTGTCTTCTTCCTCATTCGTCCGCACCTACCGCGGACGTCGGTCGGCCAGACACTCACTTCCTCGTTCGACCTTTGTGAGTGACTAAATCAGGACATGAATAAAGTCAAATCTAGGCAGAAGTGATACCTCCATACATTTGTAGACAACTTTAGAAAGTTGCATGAATGCATACTAGCCCTTGGAGTACAATAGCTTGCATTAATTAATTGAAATGCCATTAAGAGAATAAAACTCACCCACTTTTTGACCTGTATGTTTCCAGGTTTGGCATAGTAAACGTTCTGTCATCTGTGCCGCTTTCTCTCTGAAGTCCTGCTTCTGAGATGTTTGCCCGTTTGCTTTGGGCCTTGCAAGGATAATCACCATGGACATAAATGCTGAACATTAAAACGAAACATTACAAAAGAATACCAAAAAAAAAAGGAGCATACTGGCACTAACATCATGTCACAGCTACAAGCTACAGTGATGGCAACCTGCTGGCCTGTTTGCATCTTGAACCACAAACCGTTGGGAAAACTAAAACAAAAAGAGACAGAGAGACTGAGCATTTCTCCGAAGGAAGCAGCATGTACAAACACCAGCCGACACAACTACTAACAACGAGGATCTCAGAATAGTAATAACGTGGAGGTGATATGTGTAAATAAAACTAATGTTTTTGCCTTGTAAATGACTGAACCAGGACTAAAAATCATGTTAACACCTTTTTTTGAGCTTGTGCCTCATAACTCACTGCTTACTCACCACCAGCATACCCCCCCCCCCCCAGATAATTGGTCTTACACCTCTGGTTCAGACTTTCGCATGTTTCAATGTTATTATCGAGGCCTGTGATTGGCCAAATTGGTGCAATTTTTTCCCATCTATGCTTTCATGTTTCTTTTGTAACAGCTGGTCTTTTTTTATCAAAAATGTTGGATTTTATTGTGAGATTTAGAATTTTTGTGTTTTTTTTTAACCCAAAAAAAAATGGCATCATTTCTATTAGAGATATTTTGTAATTCTGAGTGGAAGGTTTTTCTAATTGTTTATGTAAAAAGTTGATTTTTTTTTCTCGATTGGCCAAATGCTCTTCCAGCTCCCCGCTACCAGCCGGATGTCGAGTCTCTACCCGCGGAGCCAGTTGGAGGGGTTGAGACAGTGCAATCGCAAGGTTACATGAGAACCCAGCGAAGAAAGAGATCACAACCACAGGACAATACAGGAAGACTAGCATCATAGCCATGATCAGGAGCTCTCAGAAACTAATATTCCACAAATACTTGAGTTTGAATACTCAGAGTAAAACTATACTTATATGGGTTTGATACCTCTGGCTCTTTATATATTTTTATGACATGAAAAAGTTTTGCGAGTTTAATAGAAATCTTTACGTTACAAACCTGTGTGCTAGCTAAATGTTTCCCCTTCAGTGTCTGCTTGTTTGCAAGTGTTTGCCAGACTCCAGTTTGGAAAGCACCAACCATGTAAAAACCAGCTAAACATATGTGCAAACACGCATGTCCCTTAACAGCAACATGTTCCCGTTTCTAAATCCGTTTCAGGTCCTCTGTTGGTCAAAATCGATCCGTTTACGCCCAGACATTTCTGTTTTGTGCTGCCTGTAAGCGCTATGGTAATCTGACTAACTGTAACAAATCATATGTGTTCTTATTTTTGTTTTGTTACCAAAAAGGTTAAATTGCATGATTGTGTTGTATATTTACTGAGGTCAGAATATAGTTGTTGTTTTCTATCAAGGCAGTTTGGATTTGGTGGCAAGACTATGGCCATAGGATTGCTTTTCTCTTGTTTCAACTGCACATTTTTGTGAATTACACACAGCCTTATTTTCTTATTTATTTCTGAAACGGAAGAGGCATTTTTCAATAAAACTACTGAAAATGTAGCGACTGTTTTGGCTTCTTGGTCCTTTTCTTTGACTCCAAACTGATCTGTGTACAGTGCGTTATGTGTGGAGACGGAGCTCTGCTGGCAGGACCATCAAAATGTCAGATCTACAGCTGCTGTCAGCAATAAATTCCTCCGAACGAGTTCATTTGGTCATGAGCGACAAAACCGATTCTTCTCAGCATAAGTTCCTCAGAGATATGCTTTGAAGTCCTAACCTTTATTTATTTTGACAGCTGAGTATATTTCAAACTCTCCTGAAAGTCTGTTTGTGTCAAAGCGAAAAAAAAGGGAGTTTGAGAACAACTTTACCGTCATGTGACCTGCTGCACAGACGTTTACATAACTTCTTGGCATCTGTCCCATCAGGTTCAAATTTTTTAAATTCCTGAGAGGAAACAATAAAAGTGCGTTAGGGCCGATACCGAAATTGGACAAATATTTCTGCTTAAGGAGCATTTCTAATGACGCCAAAAGGACTAAGTGTTTATTTGGACAAAAGAAACTGATTTTTGAGGAGTTCTGCACAAATGCCTGAGCTGGGAGTGCGGTCCAGAGGGGTCGAGATCACCACAACAAGAAGACGACGTGAGAAACTCCTTTCAGAACAACCCTTTAAAGTCTGGCTCCGATATGTTGATGCGCACAATGAAGTCTCAATCACAGATCGGCCGTGATTTCATGGAGTGTGTGAGCAGCTGGAATCTGTCAGTCATCAAAGAACGTTGGATTTAGAACAGAGGACAAAGACTGGATGCACTTTATAAAACCCAGCTTTCATAAAAACTTAAAAATCTTCAATCTTTAGACTTTTTGACTTTGTTGAAATAAGCAACACGACGTCCACATGTTTCAACATCAGGCTGTTACCTGAGGCAGCGCCGAGGCCTTTCCCCCCTCTACAGCAAAATCAAGTAATGCTTTCTTTTCCAAAGCCATAAATAAAATGGTCTGGTTGATACCTGAAACCATCCAAACTGTGCTGTTGTCTGGTTTTTGCACCAAGATTCATTCAAGATTGTTGACAGCTCTACGTGCACGTTCACTTTGTGCTGAGTTTCAAAAAGCTGCTGCAGTCTGTGGTCGTTCTAGGATTTGAAGTTTCTGATTTTCCTCCCGCTAAACAGCAAAGGCATTTCTTTCTCAGTGTTGAGAATTTATAAAGAAAGTCAAATATTCTGAGAAGCCTCTGATCCTAAACTGGAGGTAGGAGTTAGGTATCGACATTCAGCATATCAGAGGGGACCTATTGTGTGTTATTTTTAATAATTATATAAATCAAGAAAATTAAAACCTCAGATTTGAGCCACAAATGGAATAAGTCTAACAAAACATTAAAAAGATGTCATAGTTTTGTTGGATTTGGACCCAAGGTGATGGAGGTGAACGCTAAGGGTTTAATAAAACCTAGGAACCAAAATGAACGAGAACTTTAGAAGGAAACCAGACAAAGAACCAAGATCACAGAAGAATCTGACTGAGGGAGAGGACTTTTAAAGAGTGGGACTGGTTGCTAAACAGGAACAGGTGAACTGGTAACTGATGACCAACAGGTGTGCAGAGGGAATGAGTGGAGCTGAAGGAAAAACGGAACTAGGAAAACGTTAGGGCATGTGGTCTTGTGTCCATTGGAACCATGCAAGATCTTTGGACTTAGGACACAGAACTAGCAGAAAGGAATCATGGGAACATTTAATCCTGGGACTTTAGGGAATTTGGGAGTCAACATGGAATCCATTTAACTTTGGACCACATGGGAAACTTGAACATGTAACCCTTGGGAGCTTAGAACATCAGCACTCCAGGATGAGAGTGGTTTGAACTTACAATATGAGACCATTGGAATTTTGTGATTGCCTTTTTTTAAACATGGCACCCTGGCAGCATCTTAGGAACGGTTCTCACGAAAGGACTTCTAAATTGTCAGATGATTTTTAAAGCGGGAGACCCTACCCATGAAGATGAAAAAAAAAACACGAGTATACCAGTTTTGGTCCAACAGTCTGCAGCAACACAGCAAAAACTCAAGGACATTTTCCCCTGGTTGGATGGGAAATCTGGTGAGGAATCTCAGTTTTTCTTCGAAACGAGACCAAGAAAATCCAAAATTTTGTAAAGCTCCAGAGAGATCGGAGCAGTCCAGGATCCCTTCAGAGCAGACCAGAATGATCTTAACACACCACACACTGTTAGAACTGAAGAGGTCCTTCACTCATATTTTAATACATTAGCAGTGGTCTATTGTAGGAATGCCTTGTAAGTCGCACTCTGGGGGAAAAAAGCTCAGGTGCACCTGTTTCAGCATGGAAAATTCTGCCAGAGGAGAAAGTACCATCATCACCATCTTGTGAATGTGTATGTGCATGGGTGAATGACTGATTGTGTTGTAAAGCACCTTGGGGGGTTGTAGGACTTTAGAAGGTCCTATACAAATACAGGTCATTTACTATTTACCAAAGCAGCTCAGATGACGGGAATTGGAGACGTATTTCCCGATATTTAGACATCTCGCCTCTGATTGGCAAACAGCAACGTGACTCTGCAACTGACTCTTTTTGTTCTGCAACGTTGAAGTTTTAAAGCCTGAAGGAATTATGCTGTGTGGTGGAGTCGCTAATGCTAATGGTTAGTTTCTACTAGCCAAGATGTCCTTTGCTGTTTCCTGCATACTAAACTAACAGCCTCCCCTGTCATGAGTCAAGTTGGGTGAAACTCGGGATTATTTTTTTATCTGATTCCACCATCTAGTGGCTGACAAGTGTATTGCACCAAGCAGGGTTTTTTTTACAGCCGATAGCAATGCGTCTCGTTAAAGAATGCACTCCTCTAACTGACAAAAAGAGCAAAAACACTTTGTTTTACAATTATTATACTCAAGTCATTTATTCATATATTTATATTTTAAAGGCATACTTGTCCATGAGAAAGATCACCAACTCTGCCTCCACCGATGTACGTCCTTAAACGCTTTAGCATGCTCTATGATTGCCATCTCTACGTAAGCGGTAGTCTAAAGGTTGGTTTATGCTTGACGCGTCCGCGAGGTCCGCACGGCTCCGCGCAGCGGAATTGCGTCATTTTAACAACCACGCCCCTCCACCGCGCCTCCGCACGGCCCAAAATTTCTGCAACGCGCACCTAGGACAAATTCTAACCATGCGGACGGTCGGACGCGGAAAAACATGGCGGACTGGCAGTAACTAGTATGGCAGAGGTTCGTAAATACAGACATTTTTATGATTCAGCTCTCAAAGATCATCGTGATCAACACATTGTTTATAATTCTTGGAGAGAAATAGCTCGCACTGCCGGAAAAGACGAGGACGCTGTTAAAAAATGCTGGAATGCCATGTTGTAAACAACAGTAATTTTTACTTCTACTATGGTGTAGTGTTGGATGCATGCCGTAGAGCTCCATGCTGCCCCCTACAGTTTGGGAGAATATTGGCTCACCGCAGAGACAACCCGCATGAACCATAAACGCTGCGAGTTGTGAAGCGCGTTCCATCCGCGAGCCGCATCACCGAGCGGAAAGTAAATGCGTCAAGCATAAACCAAGCTTTACACTAATACATATTGCATGGATCTCTGTGGGACGGGGGCAGGCTTAGCAAAAATAAAAAAAGACGTATTGCCTACATTTCATCAAAGTAAGACAGAACATACATAATTCCTGAATGGGGAAAACTCTGGGAAACTCTGGGAAAACCCCATTGCAGCTTTAAGTGACAGTGTGACGTAGATCTGTCAGGCTTTTCAAAACCTGTGTCACCATCTGTTTGGTATCATAAGCTACTGCTGGAAATAGGTGTAGGAGACCAAAATGGTTTCTCAGTGAAGAACCTCTTTAAGATTATCGTTAGAGTTGTCATTGGGTGATTTCTTGACATAGTCCAAGGAGAGGACTCGGTCAAAAATAGCTTTGATTATCCTGTCGTTGAGGCTTGACTCTTGAAACTTATAAACATTCAAATCTATCTAGACTCTTGGTTCCTAAACTTCCTAACCTTGAGAATTAAAAACCTTGGCAATCTTTCGATCTTAAGACTTTTGAGGAAGATGTTATCGTAAGAGCTTAGAACAACAGGAACTGATCCTTAGACATTTAGGAATGTTAACACCCAAATGAAGATGGGAGTCATTATACAAAAGGATAAGAAGAAGAAGCAACCCACACATGCATGATGAGACGTTCACACTAGGTGATGATTCGCTCAAGCTTCAAAAGGGCTTTGATGCACAGAATGTTAAAACTATTCGGACCAACTCCGAGGACCATCTAAAGGTCTTCGTATGGAAGGAGCAGATTTCTATCAGCTGTGCATTACCAACCTTGGCTCAAGGTTCAAAGCGAGCAAAGAGCTCCTCAGCAAAGCAGCAGTTTCTGATTTAAAGGTGAATAAAACCTTAAAGAGCACAGTGAGATTTTTCTTGCAGCTTTCTTGTGTCACAAGTGAAAGGATAGTGAGTGCAGGCAGGAGCCAGATGCAAACAGGCAGGAGGGAAGGAAAAATAGTGGAGTTAATAAATGAAACCAACAAGCTGAAATGAACCGGTGTGAAAACAAACCCATGAGCTGGGTAAAGATGCAACTCATTTATGTTTAATGGTAATTATACAAAACCATCAGAGGATAAAATAAATGCCAGGCACCAAAAAGAGGTGCAAGTATGGAATTTATGCATTTCAGGGATCAAAAAAGACGTTTTAATGGGCGAAATAACCGGTGAGAGAATCTGAGGAATGGCAGCTAAATAACAGATATCACATGCAGTGAATATCAAAAACGTATGGCATGGTAATGTTTAATATGAAGACACATTACAGATCACTCACTGTTATGTGCTGCAATGGTGACGTCTGATATTATCGGTCGGCATGAAAATGTGATATTGGAAATTATCGGTTTTTAGTCTTTCAGTGACACAACTTTTACACACCAGACACCTATTTTACATTATATTATTATACACTGAGGCCAGCGGTAACTCAGGAGGT